TCCCTCCAGTCTGTCCTGTCCTGTCCTGCACAGACTGTACAGTGAGTGAGGACACTCAGAGTCCAGACCCAGACCTGGTTTCCTGTTTGTTTTTTGTCCTTGTTGTGGGGTGTGTCCCAGGGTCTGTGTGTGTGTGTGTGTGGCCAGGACAAAGGGTGTGTCTCCTGTGTTTGTAAATGAGACCGGCAGTCGAGAGACAATCACATTGGACCACAGTAGGTTTCTACAGTTAGGGTAGAACTGCTGCCTCACAGAGGAGGAAGAGGAGGAGGAGGAAGAGGGAAACAAAAGTCCAAACAGGAAAAACTACAAGTTAAAGCTGGGACTGGAACCGATGACATTGTTATTGTAAAGCTGCAGCACTAACCACGTTGACACCGCGTGGACCTGGATGGTAAATGAACAGCAGATTATAATCTGTGGGGAGTGTTGCTCCAGGACCTCCTCACTGTTTAAAGTAGTGACAATAAAAATGTCTGTCGCCGTTTCTGGTAAATCTGTACTTGTGGGGACACTGAGAATTAGAACCAGGCTCAGATTAGAACGAGGATTAGGATTAACAGTTAAAGTTAGGAGATGATTTCTGTGTTAAATACTAACAGGACGTAATAACCAGTGTGTGTGTGTGTGTATGTGAGGGTGGGGTGGGTGTGTGTGAGGGTGGGGTGGGTGTGTATGGGAGAGTTTTCAGAGTGGTTAGATCGCTGGTTTTGGTTGGATGAAGCTCTAAACAACAACAAAAAAACAAACAAACTGTGAATCATATCGTATGATGAGTTGAGTGAATCGTTACATCGCTGACCGTACACCAGTGGGACATGAGCCACAGTATGAGAAACCTTGTTTTGTAGGATTTTGTTTTTGTGGTTCTGATCCAGATTTGTGATGACAGTTTGATTTGCAGCTCTGAGCAGAAATACTTCAGCGTGAGGTTGTGGAGAAAATATTTGTTCTCATTGTTCCAGTCTGTTCTGCTTCCTGGTTCTTCACTGGTCGGTTACTCACACAGACACAGTTAGCTTGTTGACGGACCAGGGTGACTAAACGAGTGGTCTGAGGACTCAGACCTGGTCCACATCATCAGTGAGTCATTGGTGTTGTCCACATGTGTACCTGTGACCACAGGAGGGCAGTATTACTGTGAGATGTTTGTCTCCAGCAGCCGTGAGTCTTTGTGTGTTTGCTGCTCTTCATGCTGTGTCACTGTGACTCCAGCTGCCATTACAACATCGCTCAGATATTCTGAGGAGCTGGGAAACTCTCTGACTTCTCCACCTCCTCCACCCCTCCTCCTCCTCCTTCTTCTTCTTCAGGATCCTCCAGATTCCTCTGCTCCTCTGCACAAAGGGAGGAAACTCTGCTGGAAGCCACCTGTTGTGTGAACACACGGTCAGGACTCGGTCGGTGTTTCACCAAACCTGTCAGACTGAGAGAATTCACACACATCGGCCTGTTATTTTGGCTCCGAAGTAGTGGTACTTCCTGCCGGTCAGTTTATATAGTGATCTTTACACAAAGTGTTGATATTTTTGGCTTTAAACTCTCAGACGACCTGATCACCTCAGTCCAAGCTCTTTAGACAAAAATATATTTTCTTTTATTTACTGAAATAAGGGTAGATGTCTTAGTTCTTTCAACACAGAAACATAAAATAGAGTAAACACTGAGCCGCTCTGTGTCTGTGTCTGTGTCTGTGCACGTGCTCTGTTTTCCATTTGGTCGTACAGTGGAGAAAAACCGGTCTCTATTTATACTGTAAACAAAGGAATGCAGGTTCTTGACGGAACCTTAAACATTCTCTGTCTTATTTTTCTTCTTCTTCTTCATGCAGCAAAAATAGTCGAGTGTAAAACAGGCTGAACAGCTCGTAAAACTCTGTGACGGACCTTTTAAACTCAGTGTTTCTTCTACAGTGGTGTGTGTGTGTGTGAGAGTGTGTGTGTGTGTGGCAGTGAGGTCATACTGTAACAGAACAGTGACGTCACCTTTGATGTCAGTGTTTCAAAAACTCCTGATCATCTTCATAACAAAGGCGTGGTGGTCCACCATCCATAATTAACCCCCTTTTTTCATGTGTGTTTATCTGGTGTGTGTGTGTGTGTGTAAACCAGGGGTGTCAAACATAAGGCAAACAGGCTAACCTTGGCCTATGTAAAGTTTAATTTGGGCCGCAATAAATGCTTGTTTGAACCTAAACCAAGAAAAACAATCAGTTGATATGACTGTGTGTGTGTGTGTGTGTGTGTGTGCGTTTCTATCATACATCACACACACACATTCTTCTGCTGTGTGTGGACTTGTCCTGTGTCTCGGGGGTTTTCCTGCCTGACGACACCCAGAGTCGGCCCCCAGACCTAATGTTCCACCAGGGTCCATTAAGGAACCAAATGATATGATTTGAAATCGAAAAAACATTTACTTTTAGGAGCAGACTTTTTTAACGATGGTGAGTGTGACGGTCACTGGTGTGTTTGCAGGTTGGTGTGTGACCACAGTAATGACATGTGCTGACATGTTCTGTTCAACACAGACAAAGGAAGAAACGTTTGTTCTGTGGAACTAAAGAGCTGTAGATATCTTTGCATCAAGACCAACAGAGTGTTCCTCTTCTTCCTCTTCTTCCTCCAATGAAAGGATCGACACAGTTTGATCTCCAGACAGTGACAGACCTAAAGTTGTGTTGATCTCTAATCACCTGACTATAAACCAACACCTCCCTCCACTGTCCCACTGCCCCGTCATTCATCTGAAACCTGAGTCTGTCTCTGACTCCTCCTTTTACACTCACTCCTCACACCTGTCACCCGTTAACCTGCATCCTCATCAATTATTTTAATCAAACAGCGCCCCCTTCACAACCCAGCCCTGAGAGCCTACCTGTGTCTGGTTTCTGCTCCTGCTGTGTGATGTCATCTTCAGGGAGGAGCAGAGTCTGTTGTCATGGTGACGTGTGGCTGTAGAACATCCACCTGTGACGACAACCTTCACCTCTGCAGTGAGACAGTGAGAAGTATCAGAACTGCAGCAGGTTCTGACGGGCTGGACCACACAGTGGCCCAAACCAATCACTGCTTTAGGGTTAGCCTCTCTGAGGCAGGCTGCTAGTGTACAGGGCAGGAATCTGGCCAAACGATACGTATCACGATACAAGGGGCAAGGATACTTACTGTCACTTCAAGGTTGTAGGGGAGCTGGAAGTCAGGGGGTGAGGGTGGGGTTACACCCTCGTCCATTCACTCTCCTTCTGGGCTCCAGGTGTGGAGTGTGTGTGTGTGTGTGTTCCCAGCTTTGTTGGAGCGACGGTGGCTGCCAGGCGAGGCCTGAAGGTCCACAGGAGGTTCTGAGGAGAGCAGGAGGTGCAGTGATGTGGTTCAGTCAGAGCCTCCCTGGAGACTGGAGCAGAGACAGAGAGTCTGAGAGTCTGAGAGTCTGAGCCCAGAACATGAGTCTGTTACAGAATAATGCAGGTCTGTTTACGTCCTCTGTCCTCTTGGTCACATGGTTAGAGTGTGTGTGTGTGTGTGTGTGTGTGTGTGTGTGTGTGTATTTGCTACTCTGCAGCTTCAACACTCACGAGACTTTGGCTGAAACATTCAGACTGAGGGTTTTTTGGACCATGGTCTGAAGTCCTGCAGGGATCAGTTTGTAAATGTTCAACAAATGGAATAAAGTTTCTTGATGAAAACTCACAGCACAGATGAACAGCGGGAAGAATCCGACAGTGTTTTCCAGTGTTCCTGTACAGAAAGGAACTCATTTTGACAGGATATTGACAGTTAACCAGGTCATTAAGACCAGTTTGACTTTGGATCAGAGCAGATCAATGGTGATGAATGTTGAAGAGAACAGTTTCAGTTGATGAGGTTCACAGACCTTTACAGTTGGTGATGGGATTCTACACAGTTCTGACAGAGAAAGGAGATCAGTGGATTGGTCACAGTTTGTCAGGTGATCAGTTGGTCAATCGTTACAGCTCTAGTTTTCATTGATTGGACTGGTCTGGTGAAGAACCATCAACCAGACATCAGTCCCACACAGACTGGGTCACCTAGTCACCTGGTCCAGTACTCAGACCAGGTGACAGATCTTCTCTGTAGGTTTCAGCTTCCCTCCATCCTATTGTCACAGGTTTCTATACACTTGTTGTTTTCCTTCTTATGTGACCTTGTTTCCTTGTAAACACACGCCTCCTCCAGCTCCATGTCCTCCTCCCTCTCCTCCTCCCACAGCTACATCTGCGCTCTCACTTTACATCCCAGAATGTTCTTCAATCTTCTGTCCTGTTCTCAACTTGTCTTCTGTTTTTCTCCTGCCACCTGTGACAACATGCACCGACATCCTAACATCAGCAGCTGATGTGTGTGTATGTGTTTGTGTGTGTGTGTCTGCAGGTCAAGCCGAGGCTGAGCTGAAGGAGTTCAGTCCGTACTACAGGAAACAGTTCTCTGTGTCCAGGTTCTCTCAGCTGGAGGATGAGTTGGAGCAGCACAAGCCCAAGATCACACAGCTGCTCAAACAGAGGGTACGTGTGTGTGTGTGTGTGGGGGGCTGGACGTCGTCAGAGTTTCACATTAAAATGGACCGACGTCAGATTTAACATATTACCATCGTCTGTTAACAAACTTTTCTTGTTATAAAGCAGTGGTTCCCAAAGTAGGGGGCGGGGCGCTCCAAGGGCTGCGGAGCTGTAGAAATTATTTTGGAATTATAGCTTTTAAATTGTTTTAAAGAAAATTGGCTGAATCTATCGACATGGGGGAGGAGGGTGACAGAGTCTATCGACATGGGGGAGGAGGGTGACAACAGTTACGCCTGTGAACGGGGCGCTGCAGAGAAGGTTAGAGGTTTAGGACAGATAACAATAATTATATGATAATAATTAAAGAATGATAAGAACTGTAATAATTCCAGTGTGTTAATGTGTGACCAGCAGGTGGCTCCTCAAGAGGCTGAGGTTCTCTACGAGGAGTCCCTCTTCTACTTTGACGACACCAGGAAGTGGAAGGAGCGCTACGTGGTGGTGAGGGCCAACTACTGCCTGGAGTGTCACGAGGGTCTGGAAGTGAGTGAGACCCTGACCATGCTGCACCTCTGAAGAGCAGAAACGTTCCAGCCTCTCATCACAGATTTCCTCCTGATTTTCAGACTTATATGAAAGGGGTTCCCCCACATCACAAACTGCTGCCCACAGGGGGCAGTGTTCTGACCACAGAGGAAAAGTACATGGCCATGGTGGACAAATGTTTCCCTGATGACACCAGTGAGTTCAGTATCTCCAGACAGCAGGTTTTCTCTTCTTCTTCTTCTTTTACATCATGTTTTTTCTGGTTTCAGACGTGAAGGAAGACTTTGCCCCCCCCCTGACGGGAATGCCGGGTCAGTTCCCAGTGTACCTGCGTCTTCCCTACAGGAGAGATTCCTACTTCTGTTTCAGACAGCAGGCCAAACAGGAAGCCTTCCTCTCCATCATGTCCGACTGTATCAGACACCAGAACCAAGGTACGGTAGAAAGCTGCAGACCAGGAACCTAGAACCGATCCAGGACCGATTAATGAGTTCCCTAACAAACTAAAAACATTTGGGGGGGGGGGTTATCAAAGTTGTGATAGTGTGAGTGTGTGAAGTGACTCAGCTGATGTTTGTGGTTGGTGGATCATCACTCTCTCTCCCTCCCTCTCTCTCTTCCTAGACTTCCTGAAGAAGAAGACCTGTGAGGTCCAGGCCTTCCTCAAAGCCATCCAGCTCTACCGACAGGACAAGGACAAGTACGAGGCCTGGGACATGCTGATAGGAAGTGATGTCAGAGTACGTGACTAAACTCATAGTTTTTCATAGTTAGAAAAAATAGAAAGTGGTAAGTTTGGTAATTTGAATTCATTTAAGTTTAGAAAGAAAACACGATAATGAAACTAATTTATCTCCAAATAGTCAGGAATTTAATAGAAAATCTAGGCTCTAAACTAAAGTTGTGAAATTAGTAGACATTTAAGAAATAACTTTGGGTCTCAGAGTGAACCTGTTCATGTTGCATGGCACCAGTAATGATATTTTAACAAGAGGGGAAACCTTCAGCCATAAACCAGTGAACCAGGGTCTGTTCTGACCTGGACTAAAAACAGGCTCCTTTACAGCAGCAGCAGCACTGCTCCACTGCTCCACTGCGTCGTCTCTTGAGTCTGTTCATTGTGAACTGTGAATGAGCTGGAGGTGGAAGGAAGTTTGGTCTGTAAAGTTAATTTGTCAGACGTTTCCTGTTTTTTAAAACACAGCCTTCACACACGTGATGTGAAGAAACGCACACCCTCATTTTCTCACACACATTTCCACAGATATCACACACACAGACACACACGCACCAAACCACTCCCATGAGACAGGGCTGAGAAATGAATGGAATGAGTGAAATGCCTTAAACAGAAACAGCAGAGAGTTTGTCTCCACAGACACATGGTCCAGTCCTGGTCTCAGAGCTGGTACTGGTTCTACCTGTGGGGACACTCAAATCTCCAGAGAGATTCAGGTCAAGGGTCACTCTGCACACAGTGGTATAGAGTTCTACAACAACGAGGTAGAATATATATTCATGGACATTGAATCTTGTTATTTTCTAGGTTTTAACATTTGGTTGCTCTTCTGCTACCAGTGTTTCAGAAACGGATTGGAGTAGTTCTATTTTTTTTATTTTCATGATTCTGTCACAGATGGCCGTATAATCCACAGGAGCTGTTGGATTTACTGATTACATTGACATCAGGTCATATTTGGTTATGCTTTATCTGCTTATTTTATGTTAAATGTGGAAGAATTAAGATAATGCATCAATAAATATATGTTGCATTGCAACACGTGTGTACTTTTCAGGTTTAGGTTATACAATAGAGTTTTTGTTTGTTTTGTGGAGAGATACGTGCATGTTACTTGGTAAAAATAAAAGGGGTTGGCTTTACATGATTGTCCCTCTTTGTCCCACACAAACCTGCTACTTGTCCTGCATTTTGTCAGTTTGGAGGTGGACACGTACGGGCAGAGGTCAGAAACCTTTAACATTTGACATGAGGCTCTGACCTCCTTCCATCTGTTCAGACCTGGTGAATGAGTGAAAACCTGTAAATGTGTGTGTTTGTACCGTAGGTGATGGCCAACATGGTGATGGAGAAGCTGCTCCCGTCTCTGGAGAAAGAAATGCTGCCTCGTCTGAAGGCCAAGAAGACGGAGAAGAAGAGAGTCTGGTTTGCTGTGAGTCCTTATCTGCTGCAGTTCTGAGCTGGAGTCCTGGTACTACCAGATGGACCATGTGTGTTGTGTTTTGACTCCAGACGGTGGAGGCTGCCTACATCCTGGTCCAGGAGCACCTTCTGGACGGACTGTCTGCACTGAAGGAAGAGTGTCGTACCACGCTGCGTCAGCAGGAGGTGCTGATCCATTCAGACATGGACCAGATCATCAACACCAGGCAGGACCTGGAGGAGAAGATCAGAGGTAAGCTCCTCAGACACGGACAGTAGAAGAGCTTCAGTCCTCTGTGAAAAACTGCCTGTGGCTGGAGAACACCAGTGGAATGTCTTCAAAATATTTTTATTGGTGAAAAAAAGTGTTAGTGTTAGAGTGTTCCTCTAAGGACGTAAACTGAGGTCGAAGGAAGGATCAGAAAAACAGTGCTGGATGTTGGTCTGTGGAACAAGAACTAATTCTAGAACCGTTTAAATGATAATGATGAATATGAACCCACAACTAGAAGAAAGAAACAGGATGATAACAGAAAACAGTCAGAGGAACAATCTAGAACAGTTCCCTTCACTGTACATAAACAGATGTTCCCTTTCTCCAGTGGATGGTTCCAGATATTTCCATGAGACATTTCCAGAATTCCCAACCATTCAAGGACATTCAAGGAGTTTGTCCAGTGTTTGGTCTTAAAATATTGTTAAATTAACTTTAATTCTGTTCTGAATAAACATTTATTATAAAGTAGAATACTGTCCTAAAATTAGGTGATGGGCTCCCTCTTGTGGTGTTTAGAGATATCATCTGTACTGTGTATCAGTGATTTAGACGATCACTGGCTCCTGAAGAATTAACTTCTGGCCTTGTGTTTGTTCTCGTCTGTGAAGCCAAGGTGTCAGAACCAGCAGAGAAGCTGTGCTCAGAGTCAGTGCAGCCGTACTTGGCATCAGTCCTGGAGGAACTGATGGAACCAATCAGCTCTGGTTTCCAGGAGGGACGTCAGCTGAGCAACAACATGATGGACGGGTGTCAGCAAGTGGTGGCAGGAGGAGACAGAGAGGAATTAAAAAAGGTTGGTGTGGTTTTTGGATGAGGACAGATGGAGAGACAGAGGGGAGACAGGAGAGAGATGGATGGATGGATGGATGGATGGAAGGATGGATGGATGATTGGTGAACACATGTTCATACCTTAAGAAAAGGGGGTGATGTCTGGAGTCATTTTCCCCTCCTCCCTGTCTCCCAGGTTCTTGCTGCCATGAGCAGACCAGACCTCCACCTGGTCTACCAGAGGATGAGCTCGCTGCAGGAGAAGCTGCAGAAGCTGCAGGAGCGATTTGGCTTCTCCAGCATCACAGAAGTGATTCACAGGGCTCAGATCGACCTGCAGCTGGTAACACAGCCATAAACCACGACAAACAATTACACAAATATAAAGGTCACCGAGGTCACCATCACAGTGAACTGCAGATAATCTACGTGTCACCTACCTGTGTTTCAGCTGATGGAGAACGCGGCCTCCACCTATGAGCAGCTTCTGATCAAGGTCCTGGAGGACAACCCAGAAAATGTCAGCTTGGCCCTGGAGAAGGCCAAACACAGAGTGCTGAAGGTCAGTGTGTACTGCTGTGGTCCAACTGTTGGCTTGGGGACACACCTAAAAATGTCCACAAAAAAATAACAACTAAGACTGAGGAAAAGTGAACTGTTGTAGTTTTGGGTAAAGTTTTGTGAGTTTATGTGAGAAGGAATTAATACGGATGAAGTATGAAGTATTTAGAAGTATGAGGTATTTAGAAGTATCTCCTGACGTCTGGTCTCTGCAGCAATATGACTACGACAGCAGCACAGTGAGGAAGAGGATCTTCCAGGAAGCTCTGGTGTCCATCACACTGCCCTTCATCAAGAAGAACCTGGCTCCCACCTGCAAGACAGTGAGAGACACACACACACACACACACGTACCCATAAACATTTGAACCATGTCACAGTCTGGTTTCAACTGGTTTATACCAGTTTTATACCAGGCTCTGACCCTGGACTCTTCGTCCATCCACCTGTGTCTGTGCAGGAGCTCCAGGGTCTGGACCAGTCCATTGACCCGGACCACTCAAACTTCATCCAAGTTGAGAACATTTATGAGAGCATCCTCCTTCAAACCCTGCACAAGGAGGTCACCAAAGGTACAGCTGGTGTAGTTGCTGGTGTCAGAAGAACCAAACACCGTCACCGGACTCTGACCTGTTTTTATTTCTGTCTCTTTTCTTGTCGCAGTGGTCAAAGAAGCAGCCAGTCTGAAGAAGTACAACTTGTTCACAGACAGTAGAGATCTGGTCAGTCAGTCCAGCAGGTCCAGTCTCTACTCACTGTCCACACCTGTCCCTGGAAGCCCCAACATGGCAGTGTCCTCCCCCTCTACACCGTCCTCCCCTCCTCTACTAGTCAATGGTCTGTCCTCCACCCCACAGAAGGAAAGGAAGAATGGTTCCGTGCAGAGTCAGAACCTGATGGACTTGATAGTTCAGACCCCACAGATGGTCCAGACTGTCGTGACAGAGACGAGCCCTGGGACAGCAGACAGTGGTGGTCCAAACTGGACACAGAAAAGCAGTGTAAAGAATGTGGTCAGCGAAGAAGAAGTGTCCTCTGTCTCTGCGACAGAGAAGCTGGAGGTAGAACCCGAGCGTGGTACACATAGAACCGAGCCTGTAGAAGAAGCTGGGTCAGAAACAACAGCAGCAGCTCTGGAAGGTTTAAAGACAGAAGCAGAACCAGAAGTTCCTGCAGTGAACCCCGTCCCTTCCTCTGAGACAGAACCAGAAGTGCCTGCAGTGAACCCAGTCCCTTTCTCCAAGACAGAACCAGACGTCCCTGCAGAAAACCCAGAACTTACCTCTGAGACAGAACCAGAAGTTCCTACAGTGAACCCAGTCCCTAGCAATGACACAGAACCCACATCAGCAGTGGAAGGTGGTTCCCAGGCAGAGGACAGGTCAGAGGCTCCCTCTAGTGGCGAAAAAGCAGTAGTTACACCTGTAGATGAAGGAGTGGAGGATGATCCTAACTCTGTGGATGTGTCATTAGGCAGCGAGTCTCCACCTTCTGATGTAAAGTCAGAGGAAGTTAAAGACACACCAGAGGAGGTCTCCACAACCTCAGATGTCCTGGAGGACGAAGGTGGCATCAGCAAAACTGCAGTGACTTCAGACTATGCACCAGAGGACATTCCTCCTCAGAATCCAGGATCCAAAACTGAAGACGTTGGAGTTTCTGATGACGCTGAAACAGGAGTCAGTATCATCTCTCCTGAGTCTGTCCCTGAAGAGACCCCGTCCAGCCCCACTGCCCGGCCTTTGGACTGCGTCAAAGACATCCGCGACCTGGTGGTGGAGGTGATCGACGTGGAGGAGCTGGTCCAGCATTATCCCAGCGGCATTCCCCAAGAGGAGTGAAGCATCAGGACTGATTCCAGGGGTCTTCTGGCAGGACGAGGACAGAAATGGTTCTAAATGTTTCTCTGCTGTCTGCTGAAATAAGTACCAGACCAAAACTGTAGCTCCTCTTTCTAACAGAACTTTCCATCAAACATCGACGTTCCTCCACAGGGTGGACACTTTCAGACGTCGACACACAAATCCACAAAACTACATTTAAATTATTTATAAAAGTCATTTAGACGAAACCAACACAGCAGCTGTTCAAACAGAGAGTGATGTCAAACAGAAACACACATTTTTAAAAGTTACTTCATCACCAGAGCGTTTATGATGTGAAACTACTTCATCACAGTACAGTTTTGTAAATTAATACTTATTACTTCAATTATGCTGCAGTAGTATATAGTTGGATATTATAAAACAAACTTCCTCTGTTCTGACGGTGAATTCCTGTTCTTGTCTGAGCTGCAGTCTCTGCACGTTCCCATTGATTCCCCCCCGGACCCTCCCACACACACTGACCTACTACAGCACTGGAATTATTACACCACATGAATTAAAATAACCCCCCCTCCACCCCACTCCAACACTAGCCCAGCTTCCCCACCCACACTGAGTAGAACAAGTGAGAAACTTTAACTGTTTATAATAAAAATAAAATAAAAACTCATTGACAAACCAAGAAAACACTTAAACACACTCTTTGTTTTTTAACCACTTATAAAAATACACTGTTTTTATTATATTATATTGAAACCAACTCCTTTAAATCAAAGGGTTTTGTAAATATAAATAATAGATGTCAATGAAGGGATAACTGCATTATTAGAAGTTTATATTATAAGTTTCCTGGAAGTATGAAGTAGTGATGCACAAACTGAACCCCCGTCTGACCAAAGCTCACTCCCTACACCAAACACCATTAAAAAAAATCACAATTTTTAAAAAATATATAATTTGAGGAAATTAACAACACAAGGCAGCAAATTAATAAAAAATATATCAAATGAAATAATAGATAAAAATCCTCTAATTGAAGTAATGGTTTTTCTTTCTGGCCTTTGGTTCAGAATTTGAACAATTGAACATAAAGAGTTACCTGGAGTGACATCACCTGCCTGTGTCGTGATGAAGGACCCCAGTGACGTAGGCGTGGTTGTCTCTGCTGCTCCACCTCTCCCCCTGCACAGAGAGCGGCTTCTACAGACACTGTTAGCATCACCTGACAACAACATGACAAAACTACCAGATGCAAACTGTGTGAAAATATTACTAATAAAATATTAATCTCAATGGAAGATTATTTTTCTTCTTCTTCTTCAGAAAGTCTCAAATATCTGCTTTGAGTTGTGGGAACGCCACAGAAATAATAAATGGTTTTATTTGGCAGTAAAACAAACAGCCACAATGGTTTGATTATTTATTCATGGTCCACGACATGTTTTAATCAGACACAGTCGCACTGACACAGGAGAAAATAAAAAAGCCTGTCAGAAGAGCGCCATCTGTGACACATCACAGACTCAAACACAACACAGAGAAGAGGTTTGAATCCAGCAGGACGACCATGCTCCGGCCACAGAGGACAAGATAAAGAGCAGAAATAATAACAGTAGGGGATACTTCCACATTTGTTGGTGGTTAAAAAGAAGAGGACATTTTTCATCCTAACTCAATAAAGGCTGTATTTCGTCTTCAATTACACTGACATAAATAAAGATGAATAACTTCCCAGTGCAGAGGCTGGTGAACAGAGACGGTGTTGTCAATACGCAGGACAACACCTGGACAGACTGTGTCCCAGTCTGTGTCCCAGTCTGTGTCCAGGCTGGGAAACGTCTGTCCCTGGAGGACAAGACTGACTTCAGATCAGTCTATTCTCTAATAAAAACGTCCTCCAGCCTCGTCTACATAAAGTTCCTCATTAAACAGTTCACAGTTTAACAGCAACGTGAACACGAAATGTAGTTGTAGTAAACACAGCGCCCTCTGTTGTCATGACTATCCCGTGTGTTGCAGCTCACTGTAGGTGTGAACGTCATGATGACGTCTCAATTCTAGTCCTTAAACAGAGACGTTCCTGCAGAACACGCTCCAACAAAGTCAGAAAAAATTAACTAATGTCGTGTGTAATTTTGAACGGCTTCGTACTGATGTAAAACAACACAGACGGGTTCAAACCTAATACAAAACACCACAGTCTACATGTGTGGGCGGAGAGCTCGGCTCCACCTCTCCACCTAAACTCAAAATGTCACTTTCACAGTGTTGTAAAAGTTTGTTCTAAAGACAGAAACTGTTTGTTTGTTTGTGGACGTGTAAACAGTTTTACCGAGAGGCCGTGGCGTAGGAACTGAAAAACTCCTCCGGATGGAAACCGTAGGCACTGACGGGCCGATCCACTGGGAACTGAGCTGGAGAGACAAACTGGTCTGCCAGACTGGGAAGACAGAGAGGGGGGAGATTTCATACTGATAAATACAGACCCCCTTCATGTCAATAACAACAACAATTTGAGAGAAAAATCAAAATCCAAATTTTCCTCTGAAATTAAATGTTACAATAATGTGCAGTTAAAGTTTCAGTTTGTCTGTACTTTTACTCTCTTTGTCCTTTGGCAGCTTTTCTCTAAATATTTAAAACAGATGTAGAAAAAACCCCAAAACAAAAGAGGAGATTATTCTCAACAGAAAACTATGGAAGGCAGTGTTTTTGAGTTACATATATATATACTGTATTAGACTGTTGCTTCATTGTGATTATAGCTGGAGAATGCTTGATGTTGTATTGAAAAAATAAAAATGAGAATAAAGTTTAAATGGACTTTTTTTACCCTCAGATTTTCTCAAAATATAGCTGGATATTTGAGCTGATATTTTTTTTACAAACTAGAATTCACATAATAAATTGCATTAAAGTTCACTTGATAAAACAAATAAACAATAAAGCTATGTGATAATAATTCGATTCGGACAAGAATGAAAATAAATTCATGTTCCGTTGATCCTCTTCTAAGACTACGACCTGGGTCAAGATGCTGTGTTTCCTGCTCCTGTTCTGACATTTGTTTGTGGCACAGCGTCAGCAGAGAGTACGGCTCAGAACATTCTGGATTCCTAACATTTTACACAGATGGAAAAGTCGCAGATTCACAAGTCAGGACTGCAACGCAACCACTAGATGGAGCTCTGGCACTACTGTGATCATATTCAAAGGGTACCCCTCCACCCTCCACCCCTTTAATCCGGGACAGGACTCACTGATGGAAAACAAGAGAGTGAATGTAATATTCATCTGCTGCAGGTGTTGGACGTCCAATCAGAGAGTGACTTACAGGCTGCTAATGGCTACTGGGCTCAACAGTCGTAAAAACCTGAGAGATGTCAAAACACCAGAGTGCAGTGAGGAGACTGTGGGCCCACGGCCAGAACTGGGGGTCCTGGCTGCTCCTCTGCTGCAGGACGGAGGCCTGCTGACGGCAGGCGGATGATGATGAAAGGCCCTGGAGCTACGGCGTGTAAATCAGTTACTATGGGGTTGTGGACGTGGTGGGTGGAGTCCGATTTCACACTCCATCTTCTGACTGGTCTACTATTTTCAGAGGTCACAGCAAAGGGTCAGGGTCACCTGGTCTGAATGAAGGTGTAGCTGATGGATAAAGTGGGTTCTGATGGATGGCACGGGCGTGTCACTCTGTCTTCTTCTCTCCTCTTTACCCCGACGCTCGGCCCCGTCGCCCTCCGTCAGCTCTTCTAAAATACGAGCTGTTTGCTTTGCCCCTGCGAGCGCCTGTAATGATGTGTTGTTTTTAGCCAAATCACTTCCAGCAATCAGTTACACAGCTCGCACCATATCCTCACACCCCCCCGGACCCCACTCCATGTTGTGCCTTTTCTCCCCCCTCCCTCCGTATTTGCTCTCCCTCTCCCCTCTCTGGTTAAAAAGAGTATTTTTCCTCTCCACACGCTACGGCTGTCAGAGGAGATTTGAGAGTCAGGCTAAAGGAGGCAGGAGGAGCAGAGGAGCAGAGGAGCTCTGAGTCACACCGTCAGCCCACGGACTACACCCCAAACTGGACTACACCCCAGACTGGACTACACCCCAGACTGGACTTCCTGGATTGGTGTTAGACTGGTTGACAGTACTGGTTACACTGGTGTTGCGTGCGCACACACACAGAACAATTTTAACCTTTTCCTTCTTCTTCTCCTCTGCTGCTCTGGATTTAAATATTTAACAGATTACACACAGAGAGGAAGAAGTCGGACAAATGTGAGCAGTAGCTTCTTGACCTCTGACCTCTCACAGTCTGAACAGATCTGACTTTTTACTGGAGGAGGAGGCCTTTGAAGAAAACCCAGACCCCAGTAAAAAACCTGAAGGAATCCCAACCACGCCACACCATGAACCAACAGTTCCCATGATGCAGTGCTGCTTCACTCATCACACTCATCAGCACCAAACTCACACTGAGCTCTGGTCTCCATAAACAATCATTTAGTGCCAATAAATAAAAGTGACCACATCAACATTAGACATTTTCATCCACTAAATCAACAAATAGAAAAAAAAATCTATTATTGATCTGTAAACACACAGGATGACGGGTTTAAATGTTTAAAGTTCATTTTAAATCATTTGTTATTTAATTTCTCCATTTTTAGTTTCCTGATATAAACAAGGATCTCAGTTTGAAACAAAAGTACATCAATTTATTTTCCTTAATTTTAATTTAATTATCAAAATTATTTTACATTTTTAATGTAAACATTTTTTAAATAAATTATAATTTGAGTTGGACCAGACATTTAATGTTGGATAATAAATGTACATACAAAAAATTGGAGCTAATTATATGGCAAATGTAAATGTTCTCTGTACAACTAACAAACAAATTCACCAGAAAAATATTACTGGAAAAAATAGACCAGTGTTTTTGAGGCCGTGCTGATAAAACTCAAATTAAAATTGAAGCTCTACGACGAGCCATCACCAAACAGATGTTTTAGATACAGGTTTTATCAGGTCTGTATTGCAGTGACTTCCTGCTGCTGAAGAACAAACACTGTCTTCAAACTAATGTCACAAAACCAAGATTAAAAAGGAACTAGTGGGAAACTTTGACAAAGAACCAGAAAAATGCCAGAGTCTCATTCCTGGTACACAGTAAATACTCCCAGTAAATACTCCCAGTAAATACTCTGACACTGTAAACCTCACCATTTCTTCTGTAACCGATTAAAACGTCTCCAGTTGACTGTGAAACGAAGCACAGAGGTTTGGAGTGTTTTAATTGTTAACTGTGATTGGACTCTGGCTCTTCTTCTATTTAATTATCATTTACTTTGGCCACAGACTCAAACCTCAGACGTTTACTGAGCAGTACAAGCAAATCTACACATCTGACTGTTCCACACGGAGAAATCAGAGCGTTTAAAAATCTGTCTCTTGAGGTTCCTCAGAAACAGGACGCGTCCCAAATACTGTCGGTCGTTCGGCCTCAGGGCCTGATGTTAGGCAACAGTGTTGATGTTTCTCATCAAGGTGAAAGTTATTAATTATTCATTGTTGTGTGTCAGTGTTGGCTGTGACACACTGACAGCTAATTAAGACAAAGAGCCCAGTGTTTCTACAGAACCACTCCAGGTCCCAGAGGACCGACCAAGGCCGCGTCCTACTCGGCAGAGAACGTTCCTGTGCAGGGAACAGGAAAAGGAATCAGACCTTTTCCTCGTTCGGGGTGACCCCTCAACCCCCTCGGCCCCCACGCTCCGCTTCTCCTCCATCCAGAGCCCATCTAAGCCCAGCTTTGATCTCACTCTGCTGTCACTGCTCAGGTTACAGCTGCCCCCCCCCTCCCCCCTGCCGTCCCTGTGAATCCAAACGTCCCACCTGACGTCCATGGATTTCTTCTTTTCATCTATGGCTGATGGAACCGTGTCACACCCTGAGAACTCACTGATTGGTCTGTTGGTGGCCTCACTAAGTCTGTCTGTCTGGGGGGGGGGGCACAAAACATCACAGATTGGACAAGAAGTTAAAGACGAAATCTCTCACATATTTTCCAGGGAGGGTCGAAAGAATCAAAGAGTTTTTAAACCAAATAAAAACGACACTAAATTTAGAGTTGGAAGAGTCCGTGTTGAACATGGACCAATACTTCAGATCAGTTATCACTGATCAAAGTGATGGACATCCTATCAAGGCCTCCTTCACTCAGAGTTAAAAATAGTCTTAGATTATTGTCTTAACCTGGATCAGTCAGACAACAGCAGCCAAATTAAAACAGTCTCACAGACGCCTGTTCCCCGGGGGCTCACAGTATATTTAAAGAGGTTTCAGTTACAAAGTCCTGAGGAGAGAGGAGGAGAGTGAGAGTTAACAAAGACAATAAAGACATTTCTGTGCTCTGGAGTCAGCCTGTCACACTCCGCCTCTCAACAGCAGCCAACTTAAACATTCTTCCTAGTAAGGTGGAGCTGAAGGGTGGGGTTACGACAGAGAGAGAGAGAGAAAAAACGCTTAACGGCACGAGCTTAAAGGCACGAAGGCAGAGGTTTGATAATAAAAAAGACAAACGACTCTCAATAAACCCCCTGTTTCCCCAACGTTTCATCCTGTCTCAGCGGCTTTAAAGAATCATCTGCTGCCGGAGGTCACGGACACGGAACGGAAACAAAAGAACGTCAGCGTCGTCTTTAGTTTTATCGCTGATTGTTTTTTTGTTTTTTTCATCAGGCTGAAGGAATTCCTGGATTGGTGATGTTTGGACTCTGATCTAGTTTATGACAACTGTGAAGTATTTCCCCTCTGATACACCTTGAGTCTCTGACAAATAAACATCAAACACATAAAAAGACCGTCAGGATTTCTTTTTTTTTTTTGAGAGATCAGAGAGCTGTGAGGTCCACAGTACACGTCTGTTGTACTCTGTTTCACCAGGAAGTTTTCAGTGTGACAGACAGTCTGTTTTTTCCATGTAGTATGATGAACTACTGCTGGTTCAAAGGTCAGTACCAGTCATAAATGTGGAAATATATATAAAGGTGACTATATGTTGTTATTTCATATATTTCTCAGGTGTTTACAAGGTAGATTATTTTTATTATCACCGTATAAAAAGTCATTTAACTTATTCAACTGAGTAACTTATTCAACTCATTTAACTGAGTTAAGGTTAAAGGTGCAGTCTGTTGATGTTACGATATGTTTGTTTAATTGTGATGTTTGTGACCTTCCATTTACGGACTTGACTAAAATGAAGACTACAAGTGGACTACAGCCCTAACCCTACAGTAACTAACTAACTTTTCTGAGGTAATGTTGTTGGAGGAGAGTGTAACAAACTGGTTGCCAATTTTGACGATTTTAGGTACAATGTAAAAATAAGGAGGACAGCACAGACGTGAGGTGACTGGGAGGATGTTACCAACACACATGAGCTGGGACTGTTCCATCATTTCACGGATGTTAACACATGTCTTGTGTCCCTGATAATCACTCTTGTAAACTTCCAACCAAATTGAAAGTCAAAATGTTTTTCTTTTCCCTAATGAGGTAAAAAAACAAAACAAAACCAAAACTGAAAAGAAACCTTTGAGCAGAAACCACAGCCCAAACCAAACTGTGGGCTCCTTGAACTGTTGCCCCCCAATTAAACATGAACGTTCACTTCTCTTTGTCAGCTGCAACCTACTATTACTGTGTAGTGGAAAATAAAGGAGTTTGACTCTAATACCTCACTGCATATTAAAGGTTTATCAGCAGCAGCAGCAGCAGCAGCAGCAGCATTTAGACTCAGGGCTGACTGTGTTTGACATCAATAATATAAAATCAGAGACCTCGACACAGATGTCTTATCTCTGCAGGCTCCACACTAGTGTCAGCGCTGATGATCATCGACTGTTCACACAGCACTGGTCCAAAACTGTTGTTCCTGGTGAAGGAAAAGCTCACACACCTGCTGAGGTATCCTGTCTGCAGCAGGTCTCCATGCTGGAAGTCCAGGTAAAAGTCAGGAGTGACGCTTCCATCTGCCTCCATGATTCCATCTGCACAGGGCGGGACCAACAGAGAGATTAGAACAGAAACACCTCGACCACACACACCTGACTGTGAAAAGAGCTGAGAACATACACTGTAGACCAGACCCATCTCCAACCATGGGTTCTCCATCCTCTCCGTACAGGAAGGTGTCTTCAGCCATGTCCATCTGACCGTTCACCATCTCCAGCCACTGACTGTTGTACCAGCGGAACTTCTCCGTCTGGATCTTTTTGCCCCACTCTTCATCGTGCTCCTGAAGACACAGGTACAATTATAACAGTAATGAGTTGCCTCACCTGTTGAATGCTGGGATTGGCTCCAGCTGTGGTGACCGTGAGATAGACGAGATGTGAGACGATTCATGAATGAATGATGTTCTATTAACATATATCAACATGTCTGCTACATTAAACACTGGACACACAGCAGTAGGCGTTTAGTGTTAGACTCAACACACCAGAGTCCTGCCATGGCTGGGAATTATACCAGCAACCCTCAGTTTACAAGAACCAACCTGCGACTACTAGGCCACAGGCTGCACAATTTTGTAGGTGCTGTTCCCATGCTTGCCAGCAGGGACTTGGATGTCCACCTAAGACAGAACATTCAGACAGGCCGCAGTGGTCCACGATGAGCAGAGTGACAGAACAGCAGAATAGTGTGTCTTTGTGCGGAGGTCGGTGAGTGTGCGGCTGTGTTTCGTCTCCGTCCTCTTCTTCAGCAGCTTCACTCGCAGCACGACCACGGAGCTGTGTTTTCTTTTCTTTTTAAAGAGCTGAAAGGGGGAGCGATAAAGGTGGCCTTTGAGACCTGGGACGCCCAGGACCGAGAGATTAATCATTCAGACGTAAAGCAGGGACCTGTGGCTCCTGACATCCACCGGGGGCTCTGGACTCCAAACAGGACCATGGGCTGTTGCACTGACACATCCACAGCCAAGTCAACCCTTGAGTATCACAGTGACATATTTGTTCCTCAGACGGATTCATCAACAGCCGGCATCATCATTAAACAATCCGCTTCACAAATCAGTTCAATCTGACCAATCAGGTCCCAGTGTTAAGAAGTGAGGTCATCACTGCAGGGGAGAGGAAGTACACAAAGTTTTTTTTAAAACACACTCCTCTGTAAACTACTGGTACTCTAATAATATGATGGTGAATCAGTTCTCTGTCTCTGTGAAACGTCCACAAAAGTCCACGTGTGCGTTTGCGTGTTTATACATGAGCGAGGCCACGATGATCAAAGACCAACTTTTTAAGACGGAGCAGTTATGGAGGCGTGCTGTCAAAACCAGGACCGCGGTGAGCAGTAGACTGTGTGTGTGTGTGTGTGTGTGTTCGTCCACAGCTCTGCTTTCTCTCCCACCACCACGGCCGCTGCCGTCACTGTCCGGCCGCTGACACACTCCAGAGCCCACTTCACTGCCTTTCATGTGGTTCACAGTTTAATAGGTCTGACTGATAATTTTCAATGAAACACTTCCTCTGCCCCCACTACACCGCTCAGCGATAAATTACATCTAATTACACAGATCTGAGGTCTGGCAGCGATCACACCGTGACTACGCGCTGACCACAGCTGTCACTCACAGGAGCTGATGCAGGAATTCCTGGGTCAGTTAATGGTTAAACTCAGACGTGAGTGTGGAACATCAGGAGGAGGTGAGAGTGAGAGCACTGGAACATGATCCACTGTCCAGGTCAGAACATTCAAGACACAGTCTGCAGGACTGCTGTGTTTGTAAATCAGAGGGGTTGCACCTCCTTCCACTCCCCTGCAGGTGGAGCTATGAATTCATGAGTTAAATCTGCTGATTGCATGATATCAAACTATTTCTTACTTCACAAATACAAGAAAAGCCCGGAGCTCAGCAGTACAGTGGAGCTGCACACCACCAACAATTTGTTGTGCCAATTTTTGTAGAGTATTTCAGAACATAATCCACCAAATTAAAAACCTGAAGGACAGCTCAGATAATCCTGCACAGACATTACTTACACTGTGTACTCACATCAGCACAGATATTCTGTTTTATTTCTGTTTTTCTGAAGTATTCGTCTGCCTTCTGACTCTTTGTTTAAAAAGTAACTCAATCAAATCCTATTCCAGTGAATATTACTTTATATTTCTGCAGTGTTGGAAACACGGTGGATACTGTGGTGACGTTGATAAAGTGAAACCGGTTTGAGTCTGAAATCACTCACTGCGATGATGTCCAGTGTGTTGACAACCACTCTGCAGATCTCTGGGTTGTTATCGTGCATCAGGTCAATGAGATAGGCAGGGGCCTCTGTACTGTGGAGTTAAAGGACAAACACTTCATCCACAGGCCAACAGTACTCTGAAGACCCTGGAGATCAACGGCGTTCCTGATGGAACTGAATCAACACAGAACATGTTCCGTGTTCTTTAACACTCATATTGTGTATATGACATACTTGGTATTACACAAATAATACACCGGAGTACCCTAACTTCAGACGTCAACGGGACAAGGATACGTGTCTCCTTGATGAGGACGTCTCTTGTAGCTTTGTGGAAGACCATCTGGTAGAAGACAAAGACAATCTGACAGACAAACTCATCGTCCTCCTGCTGGGCTGCAAGAGTAATAACATCATGTAGTAACAGTCGGAACCCTCAACTACAACTGTTTTCCTTCGAGCGCAGTGTAATACTACAGTATTATTCTGAATGTGTATTTTTAACATCCCTCCTTCCTGATGTGTAGTACTGCAGTATAATTCTAAATGTGTAATACTACAGTAATATTCTAAATGTGTATTTATAACATCCCTGATGTGTAATACTGCAGTATTTTACCTACACGTTTCAGGTTGTTTTCTGCTTTTCTCATGTCTTCTATTTAAATACAGCCTGGTGGTATTTTGCAGCTGCTGTACTGTAGTATAATTTATTATGTGTGTTTTATTGTGTGTTTATTCTGTGTAAATGTGTATTTTTTCTGTAAAAGACAGAGTTACATGTTTTCTTTGCAGCTTTTTTAAACACATTAACATTTGCTCTTGTGGGAATAGAACTGCTAACCAGACCATAACTTTATAAAAACCTGTGGTTCTGACCGTTGAGCAGCTCGATGAGAGCAGTAATGACTCCAGAGCGGGCCAACATGGCAGCGCAGGAATCGTCTGTGGAAACCGTTCCGATCATGATCACCACCTCCAGCATCAGGTCGTCCTCGGCAGAACCTTCACATCAGAGAAGCATGAGTCAAGCACAGAACAGCGCCCCCTAAAGGGGGAAAGTGCACTGTGTATGAGCTGAGGCGCTTGTTGTTCTGCTCACAGAAACACACCCTTGAACAAATAAAAGATTCTTTTCCACAGTTTTATTCTGGATGTCAGCAGGTTTTCTTTCAGGCAGACATTTGGACCAAAATCAAATGTTTCTGCAGGTTTTAACAGTTCTGCTGTGATAACCCACCCCCACAAGGATCAGCGAGTGTCAGGGCCTAGAGGTCTGAGGTCATGAAAAGTACTGTTGAGGTCATGACCTCAGAGAGTGTTCTGTCTCTTCATGTCAAACACACAGACTTGATGACACTGATAAAGCGACTCAGTCAGAGCAGAGATTAAGACTCTCTGTGACAGAGACCTGGTCTTTGTTTGAACACAGATACTGTACATGACAGACGGTGTGTGTGTGTGTGTGTGTTATCTCACAGCACGCCCATCTCTGGCTTTAAAGGAATAGTTCTGGTGTTTTTTGAAGTTTACTTCTCTGAGGTGTTGACACATCATCAACACTGATTTCAGCTGCCTGCAGCCTGGAAACTCCCTGCTTCTGATAACAGAAACAGTAGAAATGATGTGGAAGAGCAATGATTTTTCATCACTGCACACAGGACCTGTTCATCCACATGTCTTCTTCAGTGAGTCTACAGTGGACCAGGAGCTGATGCTTCACATTAAAGTGAAAAGCCTGTCTAGAATATAAAAAGTTTGTTGTCTAACAGTCAGTGGTTGTTACACGGCGTCTCGTTCAGGATGTTCATGAGTCTGACAGTGTGTGGCCCAAACCTGGTTTGAGTCTGTTTTTCAAAAAGGGCATCAGGTTGTACTCCTCCATGACCAGAGCCCAGTCCAGGTCTGGGATGGTCAGATTGGCCAACGTGCCCAGACACTCGATCACAAACTCCTCAGGCTTGTCCTCGCTAATCTGAGCTGCTAGGTCCCCAACGTGATCCTGGAAACGGACACAGGAGCAGGTTGGAAAAAAACATAACTCACCTGAAAACTCTGTACATCTGTCTTTTGTCTGTTCTGCTGGTACCTACCAGAAAGAGAGTCTTTGTGGGTCCACTGTGTTGGGAAATGTTCCTGATCGTCTTCATCACCAGAACGTCCTCCAGCTTCACCGCACGCTTCATCAGAACCTTCAAACCGTTGCCTGAAGAGGACGGAGGAGAAACTGAGACCTGCCTTAAAAACAAGATTCTTGCGGCTGTTTTTCCACCGCTGCTACCTTCACACATCAGCTGAGCGTTTGTTTTGTTGGCGGCCAGGTTGATGCAGAGTGAGACCAGCTCCATGTCCATTTTCTCCTTCCCACACTCGTACACCATCTTCATGAGCTGTTGACAAGACATTAGGAGATCAGTCAAAACGTCGCCTTTTCACAGGGGTGTGTTCACATTTTTACTTTCTTAGTGACCTTAACACTAAAGTCATTGTTACACAATGAACTGAAGTCGTGATTTGGTGAGATTTAATCTGAAGATTTAATCTGAATATTCCAGTGGAATAAAGGCAGCTCAGAGGTGGAGGGAAAATGATCAGAGTTAAAGATAAAACAAGAGTGTGTGATATTTAAAGAAAGGAGAGAAAATCAACATCTAACCTGAGAAAAAACCCCAACCCCAAAAACACACACACACTCACACCCACACCGTGTGTGCGTCCGTCTCCCGTGTGCTGATTTAACATTAAACAGGAAAAGCTTTGACTCGGGGGGGTCAGGGGGGATGCTGATTCCCTGTGAGGAGGAAGGAATCAGTGAGAGAGGAAGGCAGGGCCGGGCTGAGCCTGGGTAAGGTATCACATACCAGGGGCCCCGGACCCCAAATCAGCATCGTCTAGACTCTCTGGCACCTGCCTCTGCTTATTTACCACAGACGGCCACCGGAGGCCCCCGTCAGGGCCGCAGTGCCACGCCAGCCTGCAGTCAGACCAACGTCGTCACCTCCGCCCTCACCCTGCACCTCCACCTCTGCAGCAGCTTCTTCTTCACCCCTGACAAAAGGCCTCTGGAAACCCCAAATCCAGCACCAAACCCCATTAAAAATGTGCAGAGGAGGAAGTTGAGGAGAGGAGGTGGAGAGATGGTGAAGGTGAAGGAGAGGTGTGAACAGGTCAGTCCCTGGTCTGGGAAAGGACAGACGGAGGAACGTGAGGACGGGACAGAAGTATTGCCACAACCAAAAGTAAACACTAATTCAAAAATGTGTGTTTTGACCCAAAAGTGAATCACTTCAGATAATCCCATTAACCCCAGTTCAGTTTTGTTCAGTTAATTCTCCTAGGATTAAAGATTGCTTCTTCACAGAAACAGGTTTTCACTGAATATTTAGTCATTTTCTAATCAAGTACTAATATATAGACGCACTCCAAACATAGTCCAAACTAAAGAACTAAACTCTGGAAATGAAGGCCGTGGGGCAGGGTCAGAGGTCACATCCTTGTCATTGTTGCCCAGCCTGAGGGTCCCTTCTGCCACGGGGGGAGCCCAGGGTTCAGACCCGTTCCTGACACGAGCCCTCCCTCTGTACAAACAGCCCACGCTCTCGGCCACATCTGGCCAACATTTACACCCAATCTCAACAAACAAACACAACAGCACATTTAGCTAATCGCCCATGATGAGAGGAGCGAGTGACCGGGTCAGTTCAATCAAGAGGGCGCTCAACACAACTCAAACAGAACCTGCTGTGATCCTCAGGTGACAGAAGTCAGAGTGAAGCTGACTGAGTCTCAGACGTTAACTTTCACCTCCAGGTTAGTAACTCAGGACTGTGTGTCTCAGTGACTGAAGGTGATGTTTAACCTGACAGTCGTTTCAGTCACACTCACTGAGCTGCACTTCATCATAGGTCAGTATCTGTTCAACAGGGATGGGGAAAAACTACATTAGTAACAGTGGTGGAGGGGAAAGAAGTGGTCTTTATATCTGAGGCTGTATTATTTATTACCTTAATTTTCCAAAGAGACTTCCCAGAAAATTAATACATTTCTATCCATCCATTCATCCATCTAATCTATATCCAAGTCTCCGAGTCTTTTTTCCCCCACATATTTCCTACACTTGGAATAATGCTGTTGTTTTTCTTGGTTGCCTCCTGCAGGAGCAGCTGTAACTCCAAATCTAAATATGTTTGACTCTGATTCTGATGAATATGAGACTTCAATAAATGGTTAAAAAAGAAGTCGTCATCTTTGTCTGAAGACTGAGCCGCTGTCCTCAGACCCAGGTGTGGTTCAGGATGTGGTCACCGCCTCTACTCTGTCGCTCGTTTCTCCACGCTGGTGTGGACGCGTCTGTCGTGCCCTGCTGTAACCGATGGTTCGTACATTAGCCAGTCTTACCTGCGGTATGCAGTCTGTGTCTGCAAACATGGACTTGAATCTGTGGTCAATGCTGACGTGGTACAGGAGGCACATGCTGATCTGTCTCTGGGCCTCGTCAGCTGCAACACAAACAGAGGAGGAGGAGGGAACGTCAGCGGATGAATGAACGGTTGTGCAGTAAAGTTATTTCAATGTCCACGCTGGGTGTTGGAGGTTAATTAGCGTTACGTGAACAATCAGCACCGGACCACTGTAGTCCCGCTACAGTGTGTCAGGACTTTCAGAGATGGAGAAAACTGTTCTGGGTCTTGTTTCTCCTCCGACCTCTGGTTTGGTCTCCACCACCTCCTCGGGGAAACCTGTCTAGATCTTTGGCTGTTAGATGCTTCACTGTTTTATCACCAGCTGCTCTCTGACTCTGACTGTCTGCTGCTCAGCAGGCAGTGGATGAAAACTTTCAACTTCTGCTGCTGCAGAGGAAACGTGGTGTAAAAACCAAAAATAGAATCTTAAAGAGGATAAACATCTGACCAAGAAGTGGAGCAGGGCAATAATTCTCTGCAGGGCAAAAAGCAGTCTAACCTCCACAATTTCTGTTCTTTGTGAAACAACTGATGACAGTGGAACCTGTTGTCTCCAACACATTTACAGGTTTGACGTAAGACAATGTTCTCACAGGCCAAGTGTCAAATACCAAAACAAATCAAAAGGTCAAAGGTCAAATTAAAGGTAAGCAGCACATATTCAGAGAGAGCACTTCTTAGCTTCTTGACAGACACTACCTCTCCAAAAATATACTGATGGAGTGAGACACAAATCGCACCAAAAACAAAGAACTGATCAGAGTAGAATCAGGCCCAAACACAGGGACTGGAACTGACTGGATGAACTGGGACTGTTGGACTGTGGCACCAAAACAGTCCCTGTGTAAAGGACAGGACAGGACCGATCAGACCGGAGGTTCTATTGATTAACTTCAAAACACTATTCTTTTATTGATCATTTTGAAGCTGTAAATTAGACCTTTAATAAAATGAATCCAGTTTTAAAAATATCTGTGGATTTGGTTGTTTTGTTTCTGCAGGTTTTATTAGTAATAATAATAATTATACAGTCTACTAAATACCTAGTTTTGTTTTACTTTATACAGCATAACTATCTCCCTGACAACCCGGCTCATCCATGTCTGCAGCAGCTTAGAGACGAAGACGGTTGTGTGTGAGTGTTAGACCGTCAGTGGGTCCACAACCTTTATGAGTTTGACCTTTGACTGCGGCTGGAGGCCAGTGGGCGGAGCCAGCCAGGCAATATTAATAGAGTTCAGACCAGAGTTTGACCTGAGGGAGTGTTTCATTAACATAAGTGTTAAGAGAGTGCTCTTAGCTGGACCAGAACCACTGACAGACACCCTGTCATCCCACCATCTTTAAAACCCAAACCAGGTCCAGGTAAGGCTGGTTACTGGCATGGTACAGGCTTCAGGGGTGGAGGAGTGGGTCTTATCGGCTGACTATTGGATCCAGATGTTGTCAGTGAACCCCTGGAATCACAGGAGGGGGATGGTAGAGGGGGGGTGGAGGGGGCAGAGGGGGCTTCTAACTTTTTAATTGGGAAAACAGGAGGAAGCATCAATTTTACTGCCTTTAATAAGTCAAAGCTCCGCTGCTCACTGCTCTGGGCCCGGCCTGCACAGCCAGCCACTGGGCCCAACATGTGCTTCTCATTAGTAAGCCTTTACCTCAACCAGTACCTTTAAAGTGCATGTGAAAACACACACACACACACACACACACACACACTGGGGGCAGTAGGAACAGGGAGGATCCTTTATGAGCAGTGAGAGAGTTCCCATTAAATGTTCAAAACACTGGCAGAGGTCGGAGGAACAGGGAAAAAAAAAAAGAAAGGTGAAGGCGAGCTGTTAAGAATTAACAAGACGGTTCAGGGGCAGTTAGTGGGAGAGCTACACTCCAATTACACCCCGGTCCGACTTAAAAAAACCGCCCTAACCTTCATAAAATTACACCCGCAAACATTAGGAGGCGTCTGGGCTGCGTTTGTGGATAGCTCCGCTCCATCGTTATTGTATTCTCTGGGTTGGGTCAGCAGAGACATCACACGCCACATAACAAGGTTAAAAACGCTTTTTAAGACCCCCCCTCTGCCTCCCACACTCAAAGACCCTAATTAGTTTTTGCGATGTAACAACAGCCCACGACGCAGGACTGTGGTGAAAAGTTGAGCGTTTAGTGGCAATTGTTGCAGATGAGGCTTTTCTTCTGATTTATAGACGACGTGGTCTGTAAAATTTAAGAAACCACCGAAACGCACTCATCACACTTTCCCAGAAACAAAGGTGACGTCACCACATCATATTTTTGGCCCAAACGCCGTCTTGAAGTCCGAACCTAGGGCCAAACGCTTTGAGTTAAGACAAAGATGTAAAACAGAGAACGTGTCCCTGAGGAGAAGGTTTGGATTTTGTGGCTGATAGTGAAATAAAAAGATGAATGCATTAGAAAAGTGTATTTGATCCAGGGAGTCTAAATGATTCATTTACTGTTTATTATTGGATCCAGAACTTTCTCATTACTCACTGGACTGTTTCACTAAGACTAATGACCCAGGATGAATTTAATAAGTTAACCAGAATCATTTGGTAGTCACTCCATCCTTTTTTAATAAAGTCTAAAGTGGATCATGTTAAATGACCTGAGGGCTTGACATGAGCTGCTGCTCCTGTCATAACACAGTCACTGACACCGGTCCACCGCACGTTGGTTCAATTCCTGCTCAGATTGTTATTTCATTCATACACATTTGGACAGAGTCTATGAAATGGTTTCAACATTTCTGGAATGTTTTCATGAACTTCTTATGAAGTAAAAGTTTGCTCAGGAGAAGCTAAAAGTTGGTCAAGAATTTACTGTTGTAGTGAGTTAAAAAAATAAATGTTAGCCAAAAAAAACCCCACCCAGAAACAGTTAGAATTAGGAAACACAACTAAATTAAAGTTATAGAAGAATTACCTCTACCAAGTCTTTGTTGTAGATAACAATGTCTATTTATTTGGTTCTATAATTGGTGTTATTCTGTGGTGGTGGTGGTGGTGTGGGGCGGGGGAAGCTCTGTTCCATCTCTCCATCAGTTTGGAGAACATTAACCCCCACAAGGTATCAAGTAATAAAAAAAAAAGTTTAAAAAAAAAGAAGCCAAAACTCAACATGCGTTTGCACTAAACCAGGTTCAAAGTATCCAGAAACTCAGCAGAAACAGCTCTGAAGGCCAGGACTGAGGACTGAGGACTGAGGATGTTCTGATGAAACATCTCTGGTTGACGGAACATTAGCTTCTCAGTTTGTTCAGTCTGACAAAGAGGAATCCTCAGCTGCGTGCTGCGTTCAGTTGCTGCTGGGACTGTTGCAGTGGGAGGTGATGATGAGTGAAGTGCAACCTCCTCTGTCCACTTTCATCTTATCTCTGTGTGTGTGTGTGTGTGTGTGGGGGGGGGGTGACGTCCCGAGGATGGGTGGAGGCTGACAGATAAGAGCTGCGTCCTCGTGCACCATCAGGCCGATGATTAATGGTTCCACCGCGGCCGGTTAAACACAAAAACACGACAAACTCCTCAGTGTCAGAGCCGTGAGCGGCTGTGATATTTTAGAGCTAACTTATATTATGTGTGTATTCCTGGCTTCCTGAATGAGTAACCCCCCCGACCCCCATCCTCACCCCTCCAACTTCCCTCCCTAAATCTCTAAAGACCTCCTCCACCTCTGCAGCCTGTTCCTACAAAAACAACATTTGTGCAGAGGTGCTGGCATGTTATTCTAACAAATATATTATATTAATTATGCGCCGTTACCCGAGCCTCCCCCTGAGAGCTTTCAGCTGGTCGTCATGGAGACGAGTCAGCCCGTGTCACGCGACCACGTGGATGACAGTGACCTTTCAGGATGTCACCGTTGGCTACATATCCTCCAAGTGCAATAAAACATGAAGTGTGAGCTCCAGGTCATTGATGGGAATGTTTATACAATATATCATGCAATATATGTATGAACTTAAAGGAAAATGAAAAACTAGATTTTTTAAATAAATAGAGAACGATTCCTGCCAGGCACCAGAACACTTTCCTGAATTAATTTCAATTGAACTGAATTCTTTTGGGAAATGAGGAAACAGAAAATAATAATTTGTACAGTTTGAGGTGAAACTGTTGTCTTATTGACCGTAGATGGAAAAAGGCAGAGAAACAGTTCTATTGTCAGGTTCTCCAACTAGCTACCTAAATGTGTATTGTATATTGTGTGTATATTCAGGATTTGATCAATTTTTCCAAGTCAACTCTTCATAGAAACAGTTCCTGGAACTTTTCCATTCAAACCAATTGTGATCAGTGATGGATGAAGTGAAGAAGTCGATGAATTCCTGGGAGTCTGCGATAAATTTCTTTTTTTCCTGCACAAAGCCACCTTGAGGTACAATTTACTACATTTAGACATTTTTTTGAAGCTGCGGGTTTGATTCCTATCCTCTACTGTACTTGTCCAAGGTCTTTAATTTTTGATTAATGCCTCTGCCCAGGTCCATATATTTAAGGTTCTCAGATCAAAGAGCTGCAGGAAACACAGTCCTTGTGTAAAATAACAGTTTTATGTCTGTCAAAAATATAAATCAAGGTCATTTTCCTTCTCCTTTTAATTTTCTACAGCCGCACGAGAGTTTGAGCCCCAACGGCCCAGAATTGTAGTATTTCAGAATAATGTTTCGTCTCAAAGATCTAACACCTTCAGGACGTCAGTGATGTTAAAAGCAGGAGAACTAGTCCTGAAAAACTACACCTGTTGATGACAACAACAGCCGTAAAAACACAGCTTAACCAGGAGGAGTTGTGAGGAATTACCGAGTAGTGCCGAGAGTTTTGGAATGAGTCCGGCCTGGACCATGTGGCTCCGCAGCGTGGTGTCGAAGGAGAGGTTGAGCAGGAGGCGAAGGGTGGTGCTCAGCAGCTCCGTGTGCTCGCAGGGAACCAGGAGAGACAACTTCTCCACGGCCGACGTCTCAGCCTGTGGGAAAACACACAGAGGGACAGAGTAATATATGTAATATTTAAGATTTTTCCACAAAGACCAGAAGAAAATGACACAAGTCTGGGCTCAATTAAAATTACAACAACAAAAAAATGTAAAAAGAAACATTTAATTTTCTTTTTACTGACTTTCAACAAAACAAAAAGTAAAAGATTATGAGTTTGTCTGTGAATTAAAGACTGCTGCATTTTCAATCTTAAAAAAATATTAAATTAATTTCTACACAATTTTTTTTTCCATCCTGGTTTATGTCACAAATGTTTTATTTGTGTTTTGGTCATTGGGACAAACAGGAGGGAAAAAGAATTTAAATTAAATATAATCAGACACAGCATTAGATTTTTATTTAGGTTAAATCAATTTATATTTACAAATTAACCAACCAAACTGGTAAAATTATAAAAATAAAGATATTTCCAAAGAAATACTACTTATAATTTTACATAAGTAAAAAAACTAAAGGTGTTATGAATAGCTTCTTATTTTAAGGTAAAGTTTAATGGTAAAATATATTTAAATTACATTAACTAATGTGCTGTTGAAGCCCCTGGTGTTGTTGAGTCATAGAGTGTTAAACCTGTTGTTATGGCTCTGATCTCTAACATTAATGATTGATGGTTTTCAAACACATACATAGACTTTATATTTCATATTTAGTTGAATTAGCAGTTTGGAAGAAAAAAAAATTGTTGTCAGCCTGAACTAATGATCTGCTCTCAGTCTGGAGACGCCTGTGCTGACCAACAGACAGGTGGAGGTGTTGAGTCGACACCAACACTTTCTAACAACACACACACACTATGTGTGAAGGTGGAGGCGCAGAGGAAGAACCTCTGTCAGCGGTGACGTGAGTGTCAGTCAGAGCTGCTGCTGCTGCTGCTGCTAACAGGCCTGTTTCCTGCTGCCGTGTCTCCAGTCAAAGACACACTCGCTACTCGCTGCTACTGTTCTGAAGAACCCCGCTCCAGCCTCAGCGTCACAGCAGCAGCAGCAGACCTGCAGCAGCAGTAATGAAGCACAGCCTGAGTCAATTATCAGCCAGATTTTGTTGCTTCCATTAGCAGTGATAAGACGCTGACACAGTGTGAGGGATGATGATCAGGAGGGAGCGCTGAGTAAACGCATCCAAACACAGAGATTTATTGTCACCGTCTTGTTTCTAATCACTGAGACATTAAGTGATTAAAAATCAACACTTTTCTCCTCCTGGTGTGAACCGATATTCTTAACCAGGTCAAAGTGATGAAACCTCAGTTTTCCCGAGTGGGTCTGAAAAAAAAAAAACAAAACCCAAAAAGAAACCCTGAAGGTTTCTTTAATCTGAATCAAACTTACAATGAAAGCAGAACATGAAGATAAAACCAGTTCCTAACAGGGTCTGGCTTTGATAAAGACCCACAAACTGAGGGAGATTGGAACCAGGTGGACCAGGACCAGGGAGAAGTCGGAGTCACCGAGATTCTTTTACGAGGGCCGTGGGACAAGAGTGGCCAGAAGTGGACCTGCTGAGATTTTTTTTGGATTTTTTTTTTAATTGAAATTCAATAAGCCTGGTTACAACAGGCGTCTGAACCGGGTCACAGATATTTGTCACAGAAAAGCTTGGGAATGTTTCACAGAACAAACACGGAAACATCCGGAGCTTTGAAGACAAACAGAGAGGTGGGACTTTAACACTCAGAACAGTTTTATTTACCAAATTAAATTAGTCATGTGTGGATTTAGGAAAATGTTTTTTTAAGAAGTTCCAGATCGGAGTCTGTAAAAATACCACAGAACCATCTGCTCGTCCTGTTTTCAACAAATGAACTGCATTTTAACTCATTTACTTTCTGCTGAGCAACTGCTTGGTGTAAAATCCAAGGTGATTTTTATGGAACATTTCAGCTGGTGTACAATAACAATTTTACAAATTTACAAAAATCTTCGTAAACTATTTAAAAAAAAAAAAAGTGTATCCCCAAATGTCAAAGATTAAGAATATATATATATATATATATATATATATGTGTGTGTGTGTGTTTTTTAAATGTCTAAATGGAGCTGATAAACTAAAATTAAGCCAGAAATACCAAAAGAAAACTGGTACACATTATAAGATTGTTGTGGAAATAATTATTTTCTGTTTGACTGGTGACACTGACAGTTTAACATCTAACAGATGTTATTTTTATTAGTACAGAAAATAGCACAAGACAAAATATATAAGACTAAAGTTCGATGCTTAAAATGCTCAAGCTCAAAATGAGCCAAATTTATTTTCAGAAAAAATAAATAATAATAATAATAATAATAATTTAATTAAAGTGAATTTCCTTTATTTTTCCTCGTTAACAAAAGGGTTAGGGTTAGTGGTCAAATCCAGTCCAGGCCACATTTAAGACATATATTATTTAGAAAACTATTTTTTTAAAGCAAATCATTTTTTTAAAAGCAAATCTTAAACAATAAAATAATAATGCAAAAAATCCTGATGCTAAAAAGTTATTTGCTGTGAAGTTTCTTTTTCAGTCAGAGAATTTGCAGTTGTTAGTGATTGTCATTTTTTTCTGTCTCACTGATCTCAGTAAGACGTCTGTGTCAACAATGTTTTCTCACCATGTCGTTCTTGTTCTCCAGGAAGATGGAGAGCTTCTTGAGGAAGGAGACGGCCACCAGCAGCAGCTCCTGGTCGTCCCGCTCCAGGACCTTCACCAGCGTGTGGACGATGTTTTTGTTCCTCATCTTCAGCTCGGTGCGCGTGTCTTCAGCCAGTTTCAGCAGCAGACACAGAGCCACTGCAGAGCACACAGAGCAGAGTCACTCTGGGGGAACGGTTCTGTTCTTCTACCACTCATTCAGACATGAAGGTTTGGAAACTGTTACAGACAGAATGGTTTGATAAAAACACTGTAAAAAACACTCAATAAACTACAGAATCTGATAAAAATAAACTCTGTGTTTAGACATTTCTGAGGTGACAGACAAAAGGAGAACATTCTACTGTTTGACTGACAAACTAGTTAAAGCCTCCAACACACTGCAGGAAGTTGGTTTAACATTTTGTTGAGTGAACTCCTCTCCTGCCTCTTGCAGCTCTTGTTTTGGTCAGTACTATTAAATATCTGAGCAGCTCAGTACTCACTGATCCTCCTGTACAAGATGCTCTACACCAGTGGATTTGAAAGTGTGCCGCAGGTCTTCCCTGACGACTGGTCCAGGAAAATATTGTCTCTCATGAAATTGGTTCAAGGTGACCTAAAGGTCGTTGACCTATGCTTTAAATCAACACCTAAAGGCAACACGAGCACTTCAGGTAACAAAAATAAAATATTTACGTGTCTGTTATCACATAAGCTTCCTATTAGAACTGTTTTATGATCACATTTTCAGCCTCATAATTCAGACACACCAGTGGAAATAACTCTGTCAGCAGCTGCTGGAACCTCCACTAAGAGTTTGTCTTAATACCTCAGGGGCAGATGAACGGTGCTAAAGAGGTTCAATTGGACCTGGAGTAAGTCTGCGTCAGTGTGCCAGTGTTTGCTGAAAGCTCCTTATTCAACGGTCGTCTGAGAGCGTGTCACCTTTCATTATGTCCTTAACTTAACTGCCAGCCTCAGTGTCCAGAACAGATCAGACTCAGACGGTATGTTAACTGTACATACGACCAGAGCAGCTCCGGCCCCCGGCAGCTCCCTCACTATCAACACTGCGACAGTAACAATCGGTGAAGAAGCCTCACACACAGCACCTCGGAGAAGCTGCTCCTGCTTGGTGACCAGGCACTGGTACTTTCTGACGCACTTTTGCTGCTCCTTCTTCAGGTTCTGGTTGTCAGGAAATTCTTCATGTAAAGTCAGTCAAGGAGTCTTAGAACTTCTATGGAGCTGGAAGGTTTTTCTTTTAACCACAGGACAGGCTAATTTTTAAAGAGAGGCTAGTTTGAATAATATAACATGTTTTGTTTTATTTTCATTGTAAAGATTATTAAATCTATTGCACATGTTCCTTTCTATTTCTAGCTCAAAATAATTATTCAAAATATATATTAAAACACTATAACTGAGATAAAAGAAAAAAAACACAACACAAAGTGTTAAGTAAAAACAACTTATATGGTTACAAACAGCTGAGTCCCAATAGCTCAAATAAAAATGCAAATGTGATAAGAGTGTAATAATAGATAATAAAAACAATTAGTAAAAAGTTGATTTTAGATTTCATCATACATGTATATGTATGTATAGATATACATTTATTTATATATATATAAAGCTTCAGCTTATAAATGTCTAGAAAGATAAAAAAGTAGCTTTAAGTGACCTTAAAGGTAAAAAAAAAAAGTAAGCTAACAGTTAGCGCTGATTGGGTACCATGAGAATTACTTTAAAAAAAAATCTGAATATGGTCTCTGGGTGACAGGTGTTCTCTTTATCCATGTCAGTTGTCAGAGTTTTTACTTTTTTCGTCACACGTACATGGATACGAGCCATATTTGGAATATTTGATAATCAAAAGGATATGAGCCTTCTTCTTCTTCTGCAGCTCCTCCCTCCACAGGTCATACTTCTTCAGTTCAAACTCAACGATGTTCATACACAAAGCTCCGATCTTGAAGTGGGTGACCAGCCCATGGAACTGGGAGAAACTGGAGAAAAGAGAAAAAAAAAACAACTCTTATTTATTTCAAAACTGAAATCAGATTTGGTTTTCCAGCTCAGTTCTGCAGTCACCCTGAAACCAGTCCAACCCAGCAGTGGCTCCCCCTCATAATCAGTCCAAGTCCAAACACCATAACAGGCAGGAGGTGGAGACGAGCCAAGAGTGACGATCTCCTTTCAGACGTTCACTTAAATCAGCTGTGACAGACGTTTATGTTTTATTATAGTCGGCGCTAATTTTACTGTTTTTAACTCCCAGGTGCAGAGTGAAGCTGCCGCGCTGAGGCCAAGGGTGGAGGACGAGCAGGAGCACCACCACCACCACCACCACCACCACAGAACTGGATACTTCTGACATGAAACTAAATCCTGGTTCAAATAAAGATCAGTTTAATTGTTACTAATATATTATTCTATTTTTTCAGCCATTGCTTTAAACTGAGTTGTTACACACCAGGGCCGTCCAAACTATTTCTTTAACACAGACCAGATTTAGTTCTATAAAAATAAAGAGTTCCAACTGTTCTTCCTCTCATACACTGGACTATAATTCACTGTAATACCAAAGAACTGCATTTGAACATATTTATCTAGTTCTAGTATTCAATTATACTTTCATTTGGACCAGATTTTCAAACCAAGAAGTTACGCTGATAAAACACTGTACACTTCAGAATCTACCTACTGATAGGCTGATGGGGCGGGGGGGGGGGGGGGGGGAGGGGGGTGGGTTATGTAAACCACCCAGTCTAGAATTGGAACTCAGCATCACCTATTGAGCTACAGTCAGAAAAGTAGTTGATACTTTTTACTAAACTAAAATGTTGAAGTGATTAGTAATTAATGGACTGTTAAACATGAGGTTCTGAGGTAACAGCTACAAGTTAGGATTTTTTTTTCTTAGGATGGTGAAGACATCGCTGCCATTACTGTCCTAATTCTAAAAAACATTAAATTTAAACACTGAGATATGCAGCTAATGTGGGATGTGACAATGCTTTCCCAATAAAAGAACTGAGGTGGAAACTGGAAAGTTTTCCAGACGGACTTTAGCTGCATCACTGAGTCTGCTTTAACTCCTCCAACACTGAGGGGGGCAGTAGTTACTCACTGGGTCCCTTTGTATCCTTCGTTTGACTCAAACTGACTACAACCGATTCTAGAGGATTTTGTAGCATCGTTCTGGACCAGAGAACCCAAAACCCTGTGAACCTTTTTGAACTGTTTACCTGGAGAGGCAGAAGAAGACATGGATGATGGTCGTGGCCAGGTCCACGCTCTGCTTCCAGTCCTCCCTCAGGACCCGGGCCAAGGCCCCGAGCACCGTCTCTGAGCACAGTCAGGCAGAAAACACTCACATCAGCACAGACATAAAGACATCAGAGCTCAGCGTGAGCAAGAACTCGTCTCCAGCCGCAGCTCAGAGCCAAACATCCGTGTGAGGAAGTTCAGGCTGAGCACAGTTTGATGTTGATTTAGAGAAAAGTTGGGGAATGTGATGAGGTCGGCTGCTCCTGGGGATTTTGAGCTATGGGCGATTGTCAGCACAGAGACGTGCGTCCCAGGTTTCCTCTCCTCTTTCTCAGCCTGACCTCGGGGCCTCTGGGTTCGGCTCTTATCAAGCCCGGACCCACTGATGCAGCAAGACAGAGGAATCGTTCTGACGTGCCGTCATGACAGATACAAATGAGGCAGTGCCGTCCACTGACAGCCACGGAGAATGACGGCTCCGTGCTGTTGTTGAAGAAACAGCGGCCGTTGTCACGGAAAGAAGCAGAAATGGAGCCGAGTTCTGTTTTCTTTAGGAGTCAGGAAAAGGCAGAGAGGGCGAGTGGACGAGAGGCAGCCTCCGAGCAAACGCTGAGCTGAGGTTTAGACTGAAATGAACTCATGGTGCAGGAAAGACTGTTGTTCAAACTAAAAACAAAATTTTATTTAAATGTTTTTTAATCCTTTGGAGTCTCTGCAATATTGGAAAGAATAATTATAATAATAATAATAATAAATGTTAAATCAATGTGAAACAAGCATTAGCTGACTCTATAATAACCTTTCGATTGAATTATGTATTTATTTTTTGTCATTTCTCGACCTACACGCTCTTCTGTATTTTCCCCCAAAGATATTTCTTTGTAATTTCAATTGAATTTCTCTACATCAAAATAATATTAATTCAAGACTTTAATAATAAGGACAGCTGGTTATTGACAGTTTTATCTTTGTGTGTGTTTTCTCTGGTGAAACAACATTAAACAGTTTTATTTTAATTCTTCCCTAAGTGAAAATTTAAAATGGTAAAAAAAAAAACATTACTGATATATATATATTTTTTATTAAAGTTAAATGTATAAATACAGATATTACTGTCTATATACAGATATTCTAATGATTTGGCAGTTTGACTTTAAAAAAGCCAAAGAGAAAAAAGAATTATTAAAGTATTATTAATTTTTTTGTTTCCATGTGAATTAATTCCTCGAGCTCCGAGGGGGAGAAGAAAATTAAAGTTATTGTAAAATGCATTATTTTTGTGTTAAAAATGTTGAATACTGAGGGCAAAAAAAAAACTTGACTTTGGTCATAATCACATAATGCAGCTCCAGTAGAAGTGAGTTTTTCTGTGTGCGTCTCTCACAAAACCAAACAAACGTGGAAAAGGAAAAACCTCCTTTGTTTTGTTTTGGGTTTTCTTTCTCACATGAACAAGTTTTCGGGTCTTCATTTTTTTATGTTTTGGGTTTTAATTTTGTGAATTTTATTTTGGGTTGAAGATACAAAGAAGAACTAATATTTGTTATAAAATAGTGGTTACATTCTATGATAGTTCTCTAAAAATTGACAAGAATATCCTCCAGTGTTGGCAACAAAAAAAATTAAAATCAGCCGCATTTCACAGTCTACAAATGCAGACGTCCTAATTAAATTTGAATTGAATTTGAATAAAAACAGAGTTCACTGGTACCGTTCAGGATGATCTCCTCCAGATTGTCTGGATTACGGGCCAGCTGGAGGAGCAGCGTGGCTCCTCTGATCTTCTCAGGCACGTCCTCATACAGTCGCTCCACGTACTCGTCCACACTGTTGATGTTCGCCTCCTCATCCAGCTGCCGGACAAAAGTCAGCCGCAAAAGTCTTCATTTCTCAACCGCTGAGCATTTCCACCATAAAGGACAGAAAAGACAGGGTCTGTGTTTTGTACCTGCAGTCCTGTGTACGCTGTCAGGCTTCCAGGTGATGAAAGCTTGTTCTCCTGTTCATCTGTAAAAAAAACAATATTCAGCATCAGCAACGTCCCTTAAATTGTACATACAGAATGGTTACACATTATGATTATTTTTAAATTTCACTTAGACAAGAAAGGTTGTTTAATGTAAGAAAAATGCCACATAAGAAAAATTGGTAAGAAATTTGAATTATAGTGAGAAAATAATAATAACTAAAATAATATGAACAATTATACAGTTATATTAGATATTACCAAAAGTTTAAAAAAATCTAAAAAGTCTTAGATTCAACATGTTAAATATCCTTAATCTTACTAAAAATAACAATATTATTTAGTATATTGAGTAAAATAGTAGACAAAGAAGAGCAGTTGATAGTAGAGGTGATGTGGAATTTAAAAACACATTAAAAACAGTGACATCATCAGCATAGAGAGGCACAGAAACAGAGGCAGACTGTGAACAATATATTATATCAGATGATACCTAAATCATTTGTCTGTTTGCGGTTTTGTAAATAGAAGATCAGCTGCTCCACCTCGCCCAGTTTGGACGGGTGAATGAGTCGACACTCCTCCACCACCTTCTGAGCCAAAGAGAAGGTGTCTGTGCTGGAGGTCAGGCTTTTCAGACGAATGCTGTGGACGACAGAGAGAATCGACTAAAAGAAAGATTCACAGCACTATGGAACACAAATGCCATTTTTAAAGATAAGGTTCATACATTTAGGCAAGCTTTATGGTGAGGAATAGAATATACAACACATGAGAATATTCAAGTAATGTAGATAAAGGTTAAACTGTGTGATTGGTTTTCTAGTTTTCTTCTTACATTTTCTGACACTCCTTGCGTTCTCCAACCATAGGCTCTCCCAGTTCTCCCAGGATCATGGCCTCCACCTCATAATGAACCACCAGGGCCGTTTCAGTGGGGTGAACGTCCAGAGTGCAGCCCTTCACCTTCCTGAGGGCCCCAGAGAAAACAAAACAAGCATGAACCTCTTTTAAAGGTCACCACGGGCTTTCTAGCATCTAATCATTTTTACAGTAGTTCCACTAGTAGTAATTCCAACCTAATAACATTACAAATTAAAAAGGCAAACAACAGTTTAACAACTACAACTGAGTCAAAATGTCAAATGGCTATTTTCCTTTGCATTAAAAATACAACATTAATATTATGAATATTAGCAATGGGAAAAACATATTCTTTTTGTAAGAGTTAGTAGTATTCACTTAGGAGAATCAGTTATTACATGTAAAAAACAGTTACGTTAGTCCGGAATTTTCCAAGAACGTAAAAATACAAAACGTTGAATGATTTCCAGTTCCATGTCAGACTAGTTTCAGGACTATGTTGAGTTAAAACACAGCTTTATAAGAAACTAACAACAAATTGAAGAAAACTTTCATAGTATATTTTTAGCATACCGCGAGTACAACACGATTGTTTCAGGAGTATTTAAAACGGTAAAAACCGGTTAAAACCAGTTTTGCTCTTTTTATCAAGTTTACCCGCTGCAGCGCTTTATATCCTTCCACTAAAACCTTTTTAAAACTCCAAACACGGATGATGTGGTGAGAAATATTGATTAAGCTAAACATTTACCAAAAATCACGTTTATTGTTTTTTCTTGTCATTTTATATCAATATTATTGATTGTTGTCGTATTTTTCGTGCATATTTTAGTTTTAATTTATTTTATTTTGAAAACGTGATCGGGCAATGTCAACTCTGTTTTGCCTGGTAATCGATACTTCCTGTAAAGATTATCTAAAAACAAATTATGCCGTTAACTGTGACGTAGTGGCATTTACCGTAATCTTTCGAATATTTACTGATTTCAGTGGTCAGTGCAGTATGGGTAATTTTGTTCTAAATTCACAGCCGTTACCTTTTCAAATATCTGACGTCTGCCGCATGTGGACTGTCCATTTTAGAGGGAAAACGATAACAACATGAAGTTTGATTAAGACTCCGATGCAGCTGGAGAAAAGAAGAGCAGAGGAGGCGAAACACACACACTCTCTCTCACACACACACAAACACACACTCAGGGAGCGGATGTTGATTTTGTGCTGCGCTTTCTTGTTGCCAAGGCATCAGACAGAGAGCATCCAGTGAACCAGACCTAGGAGAGAATGCTGCCACCTACAGGGTCGGTGGGATGAGTGCCTGTTTTAAGAGCAGCAACATAATTCTCGATTTTGACTGGGGAAGAGTCCAAGACAAAAAGACTAAAATAACCACGACATAAATGCAACATATGGTTGAAAGGTAAGCAGTTGGTCAATAATATAGCTAAAGGATATAGAATAATTACAAGTATAGGCTAGGAGAATGACAACAGCAATGACTAAATAACAAATGAGTAACTTTTAAAATGCTTATAGTTAAAATGTGTATAGTTAGCCAGACTAGCTTAATAAAAGCTAAAAGTCTTTGGAACATATTTTACAAAGCCAAAAACTTTCAATATTTATTGCTAAAGAATGGAAAGTTGTTAGGGTCTACTGTACATGTTGCAGGAGTTTCAGCGTGAGTCAAGGAGTAACACCTGGACCTGCTCTAGAGACCTGAAAGCTAACAGAAAAAAGGTGCTTGTTCCTCATTTAGACCAGAATCTATCAGCAAAATATGACGGATGTTCTGACTGCAGGGTTGAGTCACAGAGGTCACCAGAGGGAGTCTGGGTTGGATAACATGACCTCAACTAGAACATTCTCTGTCACTACTTGACGAGTGGTTAGGCAACATTGCATGCAAGTTAAACACATTTTTAGCCAAAATATTTTAAAATATATTTCTATTGTGTGTTGGTAAGGCATATTTATCACTAACCTTGTATAAAAGAATTTCCCCAGTGTGGGATGAGTAGTTAAGTTTAATCTAATCTAAACTAGGATAGATTAGATGATGTAAACCTTGGATTAGACTACCAGATTTAGAAGTATCTCCAAATGTATCAAATGTCTGTGTTTGAACCAAATCACTTTCATATGGACATGGTGGTTGAATATGAAGAGCTCCAGGCTCTGAGGAACTGTGTGGCCACGGCACAGGTTTCATGTGTACAAACATGAGAAGATGTAACTAATTTTAGTTTGACATCGTGTCACAGCAACAGTTTGAAGCTGGACTCTTTTGCATGGCTGGAATTTGCCACCTGATGTCCAGTGGCCTGTATGAATGTTTGTTGGTCCTGAGAGTCCTCACACACCCACCCACCCCAACCCTGTCCCTCCTTCCCTCACTCCCCAGAGTCCCCAGCAGGTGATCTGTAAATCTGACAGGCCGTCTTGAAAAAGATCTGCTCATGACTCCGACAGAGACGTGTCTGAGGAACCAGCAGGACAGATTTAGCAGCGGGCGCGGGAACCTTGTGCCAGTCGTGCAGCGGCTGTAACGCGGTGGGAGCGTTACTGTCGTCTTTACTGTTTCTCAGTCCAGTCCAACTTCTCTTAGGGTAAATAGCACGTAAAAAACAAAATGGAACCTGAAGAAAATGAGAGCAACGGCGTAACAGCCAATGTTGAGTACAAGGGCGCCCATCAGGCCTTCAGGGATCGCTGGAAACAGACAGATGACACCATGTGTCGCCACAGCATGTCCTTCCATCTGCACCACACGCTCAGGAGCGAGTTCTTTGCCAGTTACCTGTACCTGCTGGAGAAGATCCCTCTGGGTAAGAAAGAACCAAACACAGTACAGTACAGTACAGTACAGTTGTTGATAGTGTTGTGGATTATATTCTGGAGATTAGCAAACAGAGAGGCTCACATCAGATCATCTTTGCTGCTGGTGGGTCAGATAATGTGAAGACATTTGTCTGAACTGAACAATTTAAAAAGAATCCATGATGTCCAATTAACTACCGAAATAAAATAATAATCGCAAAACAAAACAACTGTTTTAATCAACTGTATGTTCTGGACTCTGCTACTGCATTAGTGCTTCCTGTTGATGACAAACTGCATTCCATACTCCAAGTGTTAGCATTTTTGTTAGTCTTGTGTGTTTTAAATCTGTCAGGTCTTTTTAATCTGCGTCACTTCGAGGACTCACCTTGTGTCTAGAGATACCTGTGAGACAAACAGCCTCAGAGCAGCATTTACCAGGATTAGTTCTACATGTTAGACAACAGTGAGAAGAGAAGGAGAACAGTCATTATCACCGAACAGTTCTAGTCTCTCCGGTTCTTTTCTTTGACGGTCTGTACAGTACATGGTGACAGCACTCTTCATTGTCAGTGGTTGTGAGTTGAAGATGAACATGATCTTCTCCAGCGGCAGCACCTGGCCATCACCACACAGCAGGTCTCAGAAACCGGATCTCCTGACCCGTCGTTTGCTCTGGATCAGGTTGACTGTAACTAACTTGATACCAGGCTTATTAATGGCCTGGAATGTAAAGCATGTCAGCACTATCTGGAGGCAGCAGCACAAACAGCCACTTCAGCTTGAAACGCTCTGAATGAAAGCTCTTTATTTAGAAATATATAAATACATATATAAATAATTTTCTTATATTTTCAGTCACAATCTCTAAAAATATCTAAAAATACATGTACACACAGGAGGAGAGAAGCAGGACATTTAGGCCAAGACATGTAATGATGTTTGATTAATCTTCAGGCTGTTGTCACCTGATCAGGTGTCACAGATTGAGCCACACTCCAAGTCAGTGATAAGATCCTTCTGGAACATTTGAAACTGGTCTATGGTAAAACTTTGATGTAGTTATTGATGATGTTCACCAACGTCAGCACTGACACCTCTGTGGTGGTGTGTTCTGGCTCTTTGACTGAATGATCGAGTCTGACATCAAGCCCTGATATCAATGTTTCCCCCTGATGTCATGAATCCTACTACTGGAAGTCCTTGACAAGTGGACAGACACCTCCCTTTGATTCCATGACCTCTAAACCATCCAGACCCCCCAGGAGTGAGAGTGTATCATCTTAAACCAACCTGAATGTTGTGTTTCAAGTTAGCAGAGCCATAAAGGTCACATAAGGTCACCGAATTCATGTAGCGAACTAAATGGACAGATTAAGACGTTGATTGTTCAAAGGTGACTCGTTACATGTGACTGATTATAAAACGTCCGTGTCATTGTTGAAACTGGATCTAACGAACTGGACAACGCCCTGACGAAGTCCATTCCAGATAGAATGTCCCTCTGTTAGTCCTGCTCAGTGAAAACATCTGTCTGGTCATGAGTCTACAAACGAATCGATCACCGTGTGGTCGTAGATCACACAGCAGCTGAGACGGCAGCACAGCGTCTTCTGATTTATCGTCCTCTGCTTCTCCAATCATCCTTTCACCTCTCCTCTGAGATTCACTGTCCACTGACACGACTGCGCAGACCTACGTCTGTCGACTGGAGCCTTCGGAAAACCTACTGACTTTATATCTGTGCTGCGTGTCGTTGTTGTTGTTTATTTAAAATATCTTCATCTTTTCTCCCGTCTGAACAGTGAAGCTCTACCCTCTGACCTGTGAGTTCATCAAGGGAGAGAAACAGTTCTACTACCGAGCTCAGCAGTTCTATGAAGACGTGTCTGCGTCGGAGGAAGGCATGATGGGAGATTTTGTGGAGATATCCAACCTTGATCTAGAAGGTTCCCGGCAGTTTCTGAAGAGGTTTGTGGTAAGTTCACCTTTTGTAGATTGGACTATGATTTTAGTTTCTTTCAGGCAGAGATCTTTATATTTTAAAACACGTCTTCTGTCTGCTCATGTATCGGCCGACACCTCAGCTCCAGGATCTGTGAGCCAACATGTCGCAGGACTATTTTTAAACCCTTCATCTTCTCCTTCTCTTTCGCCCTTTCAAACATCAGAGCAGTTTATGACAGAGCCTCGGTGTCGGCTCCATAAACACCCACACAACAACAGTCGTCTGTTAATTCCTCTGGACTACGGTCATTTTCACAGGCCTTCAATCTGGAAACACAGGGAAAGAAGTCCCCATTTCTACAACCACTGTAGATTTACAGCTGGTGTGTATAATATGACTGGCTGACAGGGACGTGTCACGTGTACTATTAAACATCACACACACACACACACAGTTGACATATGCGGTTGTTTTTAGACGCTGACAGACTCCACGTGTTAATTCGAGGGAATGAGTTTGGCCCTCAGACCAGCTTATTTTGGAGGATCAGTTTTACAGGAGCTCTAATTAGAAACTGGGTTTTTAAAGGAGCTGCAGATGAACGGGTGGTGGAAATGTAAACACCACACAATAATCCAGAACAGTCCTGACACGTTGTTGGTTCATTTGTTCTTGGAGAGAGTTGACGACAGCTGTAAACAGAGACCACAGGATCCAGTCAGCAACTCTACTGTATGTGACTGTCAATTAGACATGTTTTTATTCTAGGGGGCGCTGTGACCCTGACATTTATAAACAGACCTGTCACCTGAACATCTGTATCTAAGTGATAATCACAAAGAAAAGCAGTTCCATCTGTTTACCACAACATGATGTTTTCATGTCACAGTCTCACCCCCCCACAGCCTGTGAATTTCTTATTCTTATTACAAACTTGTAATGAGTACCAGGGACATTTTAGTTCCCTAGACACCTAGGTCCACCTGCTGTCCCAGAGGAACTGTTCTTCAAATATCTAGAACTCTTTCTGTTCTAGAAACAGTGTGAATGTCTTCCCTTCTCTGAATGACATTAAATGGATGTAAGATTAATTCGATGTAGATTAACGGGGGTGACGTGACGTGACATGATGTGACGTGACGTCCATACAGTAGAGGTTTTGTCGGAGTCCAAACACTGCAGAAGATCTTCGTCCTCCACCTCCTGCTCTCTGGCTGTGAACTGTTTACATCCTGACGTCTGCATCAAAAGCAAGCGCTGGTCGAAGAAGATTTAAAAGATCCAGATTAAACTGGGCTACATGTACGCCAAGCAATATGGCAATAATTCACCCAAACCAGGAAGCCTTCTGTAACAAGCCCAGAGCTCCTCGGGGCCCCATCTCTCATACAATCACATGCGGGGGGCCCTGGTGTGGAGGGGTGGGAGTAAGGTCAGAATAGCAAATGAAAAGGAAGAAAAAGCAGCGTGATTCAAGTGCAGAGAGGCTGTTCCCCCGAGGTGGAGTTCACAGTTCTGTTGACCTGAGGAACTGGGGTCGACGTGTTTGTGCTGTCGGTGCGTTTGAGGCTCAGGGGCCTGACATCTGGACCAGAACTCTGTGTAGGGCTGATAGAAATGCTAATAGCGAGAGAGCAGACGCTGGCGTCTTTGTGTGGAACATAAATTCATGTCTTATCCCCAGGTTTTATGGTCGTTTTCAACAAAACTGTTGTCAACTCTGCAACTCTTACCTATCCCACGGAATAATCATGCAGGCCAGATTCAGGATCTGGGTTTCCAGAATGTGGGCCACATCACAGCCAAACTTAAGCCACAGATGAAGCTATTCTGATTTCATGTTTATACATAGAGGACAGAGAAGAAAAGCATATTTTGTTCAAAGTTTGTGGCTCAGATTCTAAAACCTTCTGTAGACGTGGGCCCCGTATTTCATTTCTAAATGTGGGCCAGGTGTTTCAGAGTTGACAAAGGTAGTTATAAAAGTGAGGTGTGATGAATATAAATAATATAAATATAAAATAACCTCTTCTCTGAGTAGAGAATGTAGTTAACGTTGGTCAGTACTAACTAAACTGTCTGGGCCATAACAATTCCACTTTTCCCTGACTGCAGGGTCCGGGTAAAGCCGGGACGCACTGTGCCTTAGACTGTGGTTCTGGGATCGGACGTGTAACCAAAGGCGTCCTCCTTCCTGTGTTTGAGAAACTGGAGATGGCCGACATGATGGAACACTTCCTGCTCCACGCACACGAGGAGTACCTGGGTCAGGACGCGGACCGCATCGAGACCTACTACTGCTTCAACCTGCAGGAGTTCACCCCGCCAAAAAACAAGTACGACGTCATCTGGATGCAGTGGGTGGCATGTAAGTGTTGAAGCAGGACATTGGATCAATGAAGCTCTGTGGACTGAAAATCTGAAAATAAAAACAAAAGCAAAACAGCAATACTAACAATACTAACGTTACCAGAGACCAAAAGTTGAACAAATAGCTAGACTGGCTAAACATTAGCCAAAATTAGCCAACTTAGATCAAACTTAACCATAATTATAAAAGAATAGCCAAAAACCCCTCAATAAATAAAATCATGACTGGTTGAGAACTTGTCATGGTCCTGTTTTATGGTCATTTAATTGTATCGATTTTTTTCACCAGGTCATTTAACAGACAAGGATCTGATGGACTTCCTGTTTCGCTGTAAGAAGAGCCTCCGTCCAAACGGCGTCATCATCATAAAGGACAATATGGCGCGGCAGGGATGTAAACTGGACCCCATTGACAGCAGCATCAGCCGCCACTTGGACATCATGAAGACCATCATCACCAAGGCTGGCCTGGAGATCCTGGCTGTGGAGAAACAGGAAGGCTTCCCTGAGATCATCATGCCAGTCTGGATGATCGCCATGACGTAGAGAAATAAAAAGTTCAGTCCAAATCTGAATTCACACGTAATTCCTGAGCTGCACTGATTTAAAGTCAATTCTCCAAAAATGACAACATCCCATTGAGATGTTTCCCCACGACCTGAGGAGATAAATCCTGACTCAGCGGTGAGGACAGCCTGATGACACCCAGGGTGCTTTTTATGGAGACAGGAGTGTTTTTTCCTGCTTTGCACTGACATGAAATAAAGCTTAAGTGCAACATGAAACATCCACAGAAGCAGCGGCTGCATCTACACATCTGTGCTGTTATTTACTGTCCACCACCAGCAGGCTCCGCCAGGTCCTGTACGTCGATAGCATCAAACAGAGGAGCCTTAATTCTCTGTGGGAGGAGGGAGAGGATTATTGGAATAACATGTGAATTCAGATTTACTGCCCACGTCTCCCAGGTCAGAAATGAAATGTAAAACACAGAGTGGGTCGTATCGCTATCAGAAATGTGTCCTGTTAGAGACGGGATTCTAAACGTTTTGGAGTTGGACTCGTGTGGCCCCTGTTCCAAACTCTGTTAGCGTAGCCCACATGGCAGTGTTGGTCTGGTCCAGTGATGTGGCACACAAACCCTAACCCTTGACAAACAAACAGTTCAGTAACTAAAATACCAATCTGAATGGGCTGCTGTCTGGACTCTAGACACTGGGCTACATTTTAGCCACATTTCATAAAAACTAAAACAATGACCAGACACCAAAACACGGCCACTTAGAGAACACAAGTTACAACTAAATGAAAACTGGTCCCTTGGTTAAACTTTAAAGGTCTTAACTGACCCACATCTGGTATCCAATATTCCAAAATGTGGGCCACATCTCAGCTAAACCTAAAGGTCACCTCTGGTCTTAACAGTGGACTGGACTAGTCCATTACGAGCCAACAGAGGGCAGGTTTTAGACAGGTTACATTGAAATTGTTTTTGACATCCTAGCTACAGTTTGAACTCTGTGTTCATCAGACGTTGTTGTTTGTTTCACATTAGTTTGTAGCTACTGTTACTTTATGTACAGTATCAGAGATGCAGTAAAGATAGATAGTGTTGTTGTTCATGTTGGTCTCATGTAAATACGAACTGTTTGTTGTGTTTTATACCCTTGCCTGTAATATTGCAGATTGAATTTTTATATTAATATTTGTCTCATGTTTAAATTTAGACCAGGACTGACTGAACCAAACAGTTGGTTCTGTTCTAAACAGCTGTGTGAAAACAACCTGTGTCACCTGATGTGTTAGTGAATATTAAATGTTCATTTAAAAAAACCCAATCCTGCTGGCCAGCAGCAGTACTGCTATTCAAAGAACAAGACAGTCTCTGGGTCCACGTCTCCAGAAGCAGGGTTTGTCACCAGTCACTGGTTCCTGTCTGGACCTGCTTTGATTACAGACACTATTCCAGAGTTGTTTTCTTTGTCTCTGGGTGAAAATGTCCTAAAAGTCTAAATTCTACAAACATGTGGAGGCATTTTAACCAGGTTCATAGATCATGTCCCTTTCATCCCAGCGGTCCAAACAAAGACTAATAGGATTTTTTGCTGACTAATGACCGTCAGCGATCATAATCACGACTGTATAACAACATAAATGTGTAACTACATAAACGCTCACACCCTGAACACTCCTGCAGTCCACGCCCCTGACAGCGACCACACTGCAATCTTCCACATAACCGCCTAAGAACACAGGAGATAATTGAGATCCTCTCGGATCGTTTTGGTAATTCTCCTAAGTATTATTGCAGTTATTATTTTTCAGACTAACAGTAGAAGCAGCACATTGTTTTGGACTAATGACTTTCAGATGGGCCCCCGAGGTGGATGGTGGGGGTTGATTATTTCCTGGTTTTGACAGACACTGCCTGCTTTCATATCTTCGCTGGCTTCATTTCAGGCCTGTCAGATGTTGTCTGCGTAAAACACATCCAGGAGTCGCCTCAAATATTCAGCGTTTGCGTGCACAAGCGCACGACAGGAGCGGTGCGGTGAGTCGTTCCTCGCCGAGCCGTTCATGAAAGGACAGTTTGTACGTGAGCTGAAAAGCACAAAATGGTCAGAGTGTTGAAGCCGAGATGGCGTGAGAGGATTCCGCAACATGTTTCTCTCGTCAGTACCACTCTGAGATGTGAGGAGCCCAAACACATTTTCCACATCCTGTTTGCATTAAAGATCAAAATGCCCCATAGTTTAACTCCGAGGTATTTTTTTTTCCTCTAGACTCACCCGGCAAATAGCAGCCAAATGTGCTGTCACCTTTTCAGGAGTGGTTAGCATCTCTGAGTGTCAGGCCTATCATTTCTAATACAACTCAACGTCCTCTGTAGCCGCGCGGCAGCAGTTTGAATATATTAGCAGGAGTAACGCTAATTTGTCCCGTCACATTAGCAGAGCAGACATTTGGGCCCGAGTCCAGACGGAGTTTATCTCCGACAGCTGATGGAGATGTGATGAAGATGGAGTAGACCAATGGTGACGCAGTAGACCAATGAAGACAGAGTAGAGGACTACTGTGACTGTGAGGGTGAGTGAACAGTTGACCTTGAAGTGGTCCACGCTCCTGTGGCGTGCTGCCCAATCCAGCTGCCCACTCCAATGGTCACAGACTGCAGCCCCTGTGACCATTAAGAGTCAACGTGTAGATGGTGAGTGAATTAATAATGAGACTCAGAGTCGCGACAATCGTACGCTGTACATTAGGTTAAATGTACAAATGACCTCTGACCCTTTGAACATTGTACAGTTCAGGATCCGCGATGTTTCCAAAAACAGAGTATGAGAGTTTTTGAAGAGTGTCCACTGTGTGGCGCACTCGAGATACAGTTCCCCAGTCGGTTGTACAGGTAGTTCCCCTGGTGACAAGTCGTGGGTCTTCAGAGCTTCTGACCTGTTGTTGGGTCCCAGTGCTGGTTATGCTGCAGCTTCCTCCCATATGTAAATCTGGAGAAAACCCAGTGGAGGCGCCAGAGGCATTATTCCATTCCACCGAGGCTTGATCAGCACAGACGCTTTCATCCAGAGAAGACTCTGAGACGAGTCTGTGTGGAGTCACCAGTCAGCAGAAAACCTCAGTGAGTCGGTCTCTAGAGTCCTGATGGTTTCAACGAGACAGCGAAGGAGCGAGCCTAGCCTAACCTCCGCTCCCTGGGAGCATTCACCCGGAGGAATGTGCTCTCTCTTCATCATCCAGTTCCCACAGTAAATCATGTCACCAAAAACACAGACCTGATGATTTTTCAGCCGTTTTTTTTTTCCTTTGGCTGCCCCCTACAGAATTTGACTTCTCCCAGCATGTTGTCAAGACTCTGCTCTCTCTCGTTTGCCCCACTCAGCTTTCCTCAGCTCAGAGGGCAGGGATTAGTTACAAAGGCCGTTTAGGGCCATCCTCCAACAAGTTATATTTCATCCAGCAATGTGGGCTGGAGCCTGGATCAGGTGCTGCTGACTCTGAACGTTTTATCTCTGCACCAAACAAACCATGACAAACGTTTATATCTGCAACTGCCCTCATACCCCAGGGTAAGTTATATCCTGAGCCCAAACTACCCCGAGATCACAGGAAGGAGTTCACTGGAAAAGAAAGTGCTGCATTAGGAGGAGATCATTTCTCTTCCCAAAAATGACCTCCCTGCTGAGCAGCGCTGGATGGAAAGCATTGCTCACAACAAGAAAAAAAAAAGGAATTTATTCCCATCTGGAACCGGCCTCAAAGTGTGTGTGTGTGTGTGTTGGTGAAGCAGGGTCAGTACATTCTTGGCTGTATGTTCAGACCCAGAGGCCTATACACTGTTTGACAGTAACTGTAATCTCAGCAATTTGTGTGTGTGTGTGTGTGTGTGTTACATACAGTACAAAATACAACACTGGAACAGATGTGTGTTCAATACTAGTCCTTTGTTTGCAGTTTTGGTTAAAACGAGAGAGCAAAAGTGAGAGAGAGAGAGAGAGAAAAGACAATATTAAAGTGAAGGTCTCTCATTCAGATGAATGTCACACCTTCAGGTACATGAACTTCCATGTAGCTGTGAGGCTCTGACCTCAACACGGTCCAGGTCAACCCTGCAGTGATCCAGGTGACCCACTCTCATTCACACTTCTCACCTGGACTCAGGTAACATCCTGACACTGGACTGGGCTGGGGGAGAGGAGCGGGTGAAGACAGTTCCATTAACAGTACCGCTGAAAGAACAGTTCTATCACCACAGCTGACGGTCATCTGTGGAGAACAAAGTCAGGGTCAAGGTGACCCTGATGACCTGCAGATTCATTTATTTGACTTTGTCCTGTTTGTTCATCACTTCTTGCCGAATGTTGTCAGACCTGAAACATCTGGAGTTAGAGTGAAGGTTGTGGGTTCGAGTCTCCCTGATGTTCTTCTTCAGTTCCGTTCTTCTGAGAATAATTTCTCTTTTCATTTCACTACAGGAGGGAGTATTTAGCCCAAAACCCAAAGTAGTGTTTGGGGGGAAATCATTTTCAGGCTCATCCTCCAGTGATAGTTGATGTTGTGTGCTTGTGTGGGGCACTGGCTCGGTTCTACATACCTCTGGTGGACCACTGGTGCCAGGATCCAGCCTGAGACACTTTTCCGACTGGAAACTCGGGTTTGTAAACCACTCACGTTTCTAAGACAAACTTCAGAGACAAGAAACAGTTGATCACACTCAGACGTGTAACGCTGTTACACTAAACAGTACACTCAGACGTGTAACGCTGTTACACTGTTACACTGTAAGTGTTACATATGTACACTGACCCCGGCTGAACCTGAACGTTTCTTCTAGACTAGAACTTGAGTTCATCTCAGTGATGAAGTTTGGAGAATTTCCTTAAATCCCATTAGGAAATGTTCACCAAAAGTCCACAGAAGACCTGGTGAGGGATTCATGAAGATCACAGGAACATTAAGGACTGAAGGCTAAGATACCGATGACTGAAGAAGAAGAAAATATTTGGTTTGTTCTTGATGAGTAGTAGTAGAAACCCTGGTGTGAAGCCACAAACCCCTCAGAGCGCTGCCCTGTTGCCACAGTCACACGCTCAGTCACCACTAACGGGTGGAGAGTTGGACCAGTTCACAGACCTCGGGCCTGTAAACAAACCCATTTAACAACAAGAACAACAAGAAGATCAGTCACAGCTGGAGCCGACCAATCACAGTCACCCACAACCCTCAGCACTGCTGCTCCTCACTCTCCCCCAACAACAGTCCAGGACACAAAGTTCTCAAGACCTGGGATTCAAGGACCGTGCTGCTTTGAATGACCTCACCTTTCAGATCAGGACGTGATGAAACCAAGTGGTGCACGCACGAATGTTACGTCACAACAAGTCATTCTTCCCACTGAGCCAACGCACTGTGTTGTTGGGTCAGATGTGCTGGTCAGATGTGCTGGTCAGATGGGTGCATGTAGAGGACATTATGAGTCTGAGCAAAAAGGAGGAAATGACTGTGAATTATCGTCAAATATCAAAGTAAACACTAGTGACTCCCACTCACTGCAATAACGTGGTAATGAATGACCCCCCCCAACCCCCATCCACCTCCCGTCCCGGAGGTTACAGTACGATTCTCAGTTCCTTACAGTACAGTATGTCAAGTCAAGTAACTTGGCTTTTTACTGAATGCAGTAACTGGCAGTGAGTCACCAGAACCAAGTGGTGGCGCCACTAAATGACTGGAGTCATAAAACGGTCCCTGGATTCTTCCACGGTTACCTCAGCAGCTGCTTTAAAAGCCAATTCAATAGAAACAAAATAGAAACAACATTTTTAAATCATATTTTCTATTTTCACTCCAAAGAGAAACAATCAGCACAAACATGTGAAGGTCAACGGTAATTCTCAGCCGTGTTTGTGTTTTTGATTTGTTGTATTTATGAGGTGGAGGAGGTGGAGGTGGAGGAGGTGAAGGAGATGGAGGACCAGGCCTGAGCGCTGGAACCATAACTTTCTCCAGTAAATCCACTGGGACCTGAGAGTCGGGCCTTCAACAGCAGGTATTTCCTGTCTCTTGATCTCAGTCGACTCGGCTCATTTTTGATTTTTTTGTTGTTGTTTCGACCTTCATCATAAGCTGTGGTTTGGTGTTTATTAAATTTAATTTTCTCTGGACGCTGCTGTGTGAGAGTGTCACTGCCAACGTCTGTAATTGGAATTTTGAGCTGAAAAATAAAATGTCTGCATTAAACCCACTGGCAGAATCTGTGCAGGTCTGCTGCCAAGTTATTACAGCAACACTAACATGTGGCTGTGACCAGGTCAACGGCACTCAGGAAACTTTATGATTTCACACTGTAACGACGGCGTGGTGTGAATGAGTTGGTTCACAGTTTGGACAGTTTTTCATTAGAAGATTTTATAGAACTGAAATATTAAAAACGTTAATTTTCAGAAAACCAGCACAACAATCTTGAAGTTCGCTGCAGTCACTCTGGTTGACACAATCTGAGGTCGTTTAACGATGACTTCATTCATTTTTTAATTACAGTTCAATCAGTTTGAAACACACGCGGAAACACAACATCTGAACTGTGACTGTGAACCAACAACCAAACGAGTAAACAATGAATGTTCTAGGTCATTAATTAGTATCTTCTCAGTTATACACAAATTACTTTTAATTACCCTCCAATCTCCTTCCCTGGAACAGTTGCCCCCACCCTGAGGGGCAAATTGTTTTTAGGTTTGACTGAAAATGTCCCCATGTGAGTCCAATAAAAACCCTTCTCTTACATCTTGACTGCCGGATTGTTCCAATGTTCCCCCCTTGTATACAAGCCCAGGAACACTGCTAAACAATGTTCTCCTTCCATCATAAAGTCCTTTATTGTGGTCTTCTAAGTTCACATCCTGTTTTCCTCCAAAAGCAAACACCCAGCCTGTGGTGGAGGAGCTCGGAGCTGCTAAAAACCAGGAGGGGAAACGAAAAAACACGCAAAGGCACGGGAGCTTAAAGCTGCTGTTGTTTGGTTTGGTTTCTGAGTGGGAGGAGGGGTGAGGAGGGGTGAGGAGGGGTGAACAGGGGTGAGGAGTCACTTCAGATCAAAGTGATGTCTTCACTGTCTAAGGGTACCTTCTGACAGGTGATCCAGACCTGTGTAGAACCGATCCTGAAAACCACGATGATTTTGGGCTCAATCATTGTGGTGTTCGTGTTAGCGATCTCCCCTGAATGGAGTCGGACGCAGAGAAATTGGATTCACCCTCGGACACAGAGTCATGTAATTGGACAAAAATGACTTTGTCCGGGTTTTTGTCTTTGAGTCACTGTCCTCTCTGTCCACTGTAGTCCAATGTCCTGCCAGTTTACCATACCTGTCAGAATGGCATACGCTGCCAACTGCACACGACACAAAACCTGCCAATTTACCAGAAGCCATTGCTCTCCCACCAACCGTTTCCATGGTTTCATTGTACTCCCTTGTGGAGGAGGTGGGCGGAGCCACTGTGTCATTACCATTTAAAGGTAAAGACATAGGAACCAGCCGTTCAGAACAGTTCTGTGTAAAGAATCCATCTGAGCTCAATGAGACATCAAGGAACCAGATTAATCTGCTGCTAATCCATGGTCCTTCAATTTAAGATCCTAAAACGTAGTTTAGACTTGCGGTATTTTATGCTGTGCTGTCACACAATTAGACGACGGTGTGAAGAAGCAGGTGTTTCTGATAAAGTGTTCGCCCGGTGTTTTGTTACAGGTTCTGTGAGAACGTTGGATCACCTGACGTGGGCTGATGTTTGCAGATCA